CCGAGGTTATTCTCCACCGATAATGAAGTCTATTGATCCTATTCTCCACGGATGATAAGTTCATTAAGCACCGATTTGGGCCAAATTATTTTCGGATGGTATTTTCGTAATTTTTTGGGCGACGAAAGGCCATTTTCTTTGGATTTTGAAGGTTACAGATCACGGATTCGGCCTTATGCTATTCTTCAACGATGATTAAGTCCATTAAGCGCCGATTTGGGCGAATTTATTTTGGGTCTATTTTTGGCATATTCCAAAGGGGCACCATCAAAGATTTTAGGCGATTTTTCCTAAATATCATTTTCTTTCAATTCCGGAGGTTGCAGATCAAGAAATCAGGCCGAGGCTATTCTTCACCGATAATGAAGTCTATTGGTCCTATTCTCCACGGATGGTACCTCCATTAAGCACCGATTTGGGCAAAATTATTTTTAGATCGCATTTTCGTAATTTTTTGTGCGACGAAAGGCCATTTTCTTCGGATTTTGAAGGCTACAGATCACGGATTCGGCATTAGGCTATTCTTCAACGATGATTAAGTCCATTAAGCGCCGATTTGGGCGAATTTTTTCCGGGTATATTTTTGGCAGATTTCAAAGGGGTACCATCACAGATTTCGGGCGATTTTTCCGCAATGCCATTTTCTTTCGATTCTAGAGGATGCAGATCACGGAATCAGGTCGAGGCTATTCTCCACTGATAATGAAGTCTATTGATCCTAATCTCCAAGGATGATAACTCCATTAAGCACCAATTTGGGCCAAATTATTTTCTGATGGCATTTTCGTAATTTCTTGGGGGACAAAAAGCCGTTTTCTTTTGATTTTGAAGGCTACAGATCACGGATTCGGCCTGAGGCTATTCTTCAACGATGATTAAGTCCATTAAGCGCCGATTTGTGCAAAGTTATTCCGGGTCCATTTTTTGCAGATTTCAAAGGGGTACCATTACAGATTTTGGGCGATTTTTCCGAAATGCCATTTTCTTTCGATTCTGGAGGTTTTAGTTCATGGAATCAGGCCGAGGCTATTCTCCACCGATAATGAAGTCTATTGATCCTATTCTCCACGAATGATAAGTCCATTAAGCATCGATTTGTGCCAAATTATTTTCCGATGGTATTTTCGTAATTTTTTGGGCGACGAAAAGCCATTTTCTTTGGATTTTGAAGGCTGCAGATCACGGGTTCGGCCTGAGGCTATTCTTCAACGATGATTAAGTCCATTAAGAGCGGATTTGGGCGAATTTATTCCGGGTCCATTTTCGACACATTCCAAAGGGGTAGCATCACAGATTTAGTGCGATTTTTCCGAAATGCCTTTTTCTTTTGATTCTGGAGGTTGTAGATCTCGGAATCAAGCCAAGGCTATTCTCCACCGATAATGAAGTCTATTGATCCATTCTCCACGGACGGTACCTCCATTAAGCACCGATTTGGGTCAAATTATTTTTGAATGACATTTTTGTAATTTTTTGGGCGACGAAAGGCTATTTTCTTTGGATTTTGATAGCTACAAATCACGGATTCGGCCTCAGGATATTCTTCAACGATGACTAAGTCCATTAAGCTCCGATTAGGGCGAATTTATTCCGAGTCCATTTTTGGCAAATTCCAAAGGGGTACCATCACAGATTTCGGGCGATTTTTCCGAAATGCCATTTTCTTTTGATTCTAGAGGTTGCAGATCTCGGAATCAGACCGAGGCTATTCTCCAATCTCCATCGATAATGAATTCTATTAATCCTATTCTCCACGGATGCTACCTCCATTAAGCACCAATTTGGGCTTTCGGATGGCATTTTCGTAATTTTTTGGGCGACGAAATGCCATTTTATTTGGATTTTGAAGGCTACAGATCACGGATTCGGCCTGAGGATATTCTTCAACGATGATTAAGTTCATTAAGCGCCGATTTGAGCGAATTTATTCCGGTTCCATTTTTGGCATATTCCAAAGGGGTACCATCACAGATTTCGGGCAATTTTTACGAAATGCCATAGTCTTTCAATTCTGGAGGTTGCAGATCTCGGAATCAGACCGAGGCTATTCTCCACCTATAATGAAGTCTATTGATCCTATTCTCCACGGATGCTACCTCCATTAAGCACCGATTTTGGGAAAAAAAAATTTGGATGGCATTTTCGTAATTTTTTATGCGACGAAAGGCCATTTACTTTGAATTTGAAGGCTACAGATCACGGATTCGCCCTGAGGCTATTCTTCAACGATGATTAATTCCATTAAGCGCCGATTTGGGCGAATTTATTCAGGGTTCATTTTTGGCAGATTCCAAAGGGGTACCATCACAGATTTCAGGCGATTTTTCTGAAATGTCATTTTCTTTCGATTCAGTAGGTTGCAGATCACGGAATCAGGCCCAGGCTATTCCCCACCGATAATGAAGTCTATTGATCCTATTCTTCACGGATGCTAAGTCCATTAAGCACCGAATTAGGCCAAATTATTTTCGGATGGCATTTTCGTAATTTTTGGGTGACCAAATGCCATTTTCTTTGGATTTTTAAGGCTACAGATCACGGATTCGGCCTAAGGCTATTCTTCAACGATGATTCAGTCCATTAAGCGCCGATTGGGGCTAATTTATTCCGGGTCCATTTTTGGCAGATTCCAAAGGGGTACCATCACAGATTCCAGGCGATTTTTCCGAAATGCCATTTTCTTCTAATTCTGGAGGTTGCAGATCACGGAATCAGGCCCAGGCTATTCCCCACTAATAATGAAGTCTATTGATCTTATTCTCCACGGATGCTACCTCCATTAAATACCGATATGGGGCAAATTATTTTCGGATGGTATTTTCGTAATTTTTTAGGCGACGAAAGGTCATTTTCTTTGGATTTTGATGCTACAGATCAAGGATTCGGCCAGAGGATATTCTTCAATGATGATTAAGTCCATTAAGCGCCGATTTGGGCGAATTTATTCCGGGTTCATTTTTTGCATATTCCAAAGGGGTACTATCACAGATTTCGGGCGATTTTTCCGAAATGCCATAGTCTTTCGATTTTGGAGGTTGCAGATCTCATAATCAGACTGAGGCTATTCTCCACCGATAATGAAGCCTATTGATGCTATTCTCCACGGATGCTACCTCCATTAAGCACCGATTTTGGGCAAATTATTTTTCGGATGGCATTTTCGTAATTTTTTAGGTGACGAAAGGCCATTTTCTTTGAATTTTGAAGGCTAAAGATCACGGATTCGGCCTGAGGCTATTTTTCAATGATGATTAAGTCCATTAAGCGCCGATTTGGGCGAATTTATTTCGGGTCCATTTTTGGCATATTCCAAAGGGGTACCATCACAGATTTCAGGCGATTTTTCCGAAATGTCATTTTCTTTTGATTCTGGAGGTTGCAGATCACGGAATCAGGCCCAGGCTATTCCCCACCGATAATGAAGTCAATTGATCCTTTTCTCCACGGATGCTAAGTCCATTAAGCATCGAATTAGGCCAAATTATTTTCGGATGACATTTTCGTAATTTTTTGGGCAACGAAAGGCCATTTTCTTTGGATTTTGAAGGCTATAGATCACGGATTCGACCTGATGTTATTCTTCAACGATGATTAACTCGAAAGATGATGATAATCATGGCCGGTTAGTCTTATTATTATTGTTTATATATAATGATACTTTATGTTAGTGATACCATATGTTATGTTTTATTCATTAATATGATAATTGTTTTCATGTAATGTTATGTTATTTGGTTAATCCGATTAACCAAACCAATTAAACTTTGATTTTGTTAATTTAGTTTCGTGTTAACGACTAGTGTGGTTGGATGAGTAAAAAATATATTATTCAACATTTAATGTATTAGCTTGCGTCTGCCGGGAGTCGAACCCGGGTCTATTGCTTGGAAGGCAATTATCCTAACCGTTGGACTACAAACGCAATTGATAATGATGTTTGAATCGCATAATATTTGTCTGCACCCTATTCGTAATAGAAATTCAAACCAATTTTCTACATCTAGTTTAATGTATTAACTTGCGTCTGCCGGGAGTCGAACCCGGGTCTATTGCTTGGAAGGCAATTATCCTAACCGTTGGACTACAAACGCTATTGATAATGATGTTTGAATCACGTAATATTTGTCTGCACCCTATTCGTAATAGAAATTCAAACCAATTTTCTACTATTCATTCAAAACTTCGTTACAAACGACTAGTGTGGTTGGATGAGTAAAAAATATAGTGCAAATACAATATATTATTCAACATTTAATGTATTAACTTGCGTCTGCCGGGAGTCGTACCCGGGTCTATTGCTTGGAAGGCAATTATCCTAACCGTTGGACTACAAACGCTATTGATATGAAATTTGAATCACGTAATATTTGTGTGTACCCTATCCTATTAGTAATAGAAATTCAAAACAATTTTCTGCACCTAGACTAGCATGAATGTATCATAGTATCTTCAAACTTCAAACCTAATACTTTGATTTAAGCCTATAGAATCACTGCCACACCCACATCATCCAAGTTCAAAATAACAGAGGAATTTACTGCACCCAACAAGCCAATCCAATCCAATCAGATTCAACGACATCAAACACATGCTTCAGTCCACAGAGTACATTATATAGAAATCATGATGCGCGTTAAGATCCTAACGTTCATTGGAGTTAGGATGTCCTAACCGTCTAATGTTTGTTGCTTCTCTGCTTCAATCCGGGTAAAACAGAGTAGAGAGCCAGCAAGAAGATCATCACAGATCTGTCCACTTCGCCATTGGAGATTGATAGGGAACCACTTTCACCCTTTTCATCGAATCCGAAACCTGGAAGAGAAGAGCACAATTTCTTCAGGCAGCAGGCCTTTTCCCTTTTGTTCCATCTTGTCAATTGTCAACAACATACACATTTCGCACGCAATAGAAACAGAGTTTACAGAGCTTGTAATGCTAATACACTACTGATAACAACAATTATTATACTAATGATCTTGATTTATTGACTAAATTGATCATCACGACCAGGTGGAGAAGAGTGCCTCCCAAATCTCGGTGAAAACCTCGACGATGATCCTGTGGTGATGGTCGGCGTTGAGAGACAAGAAACACTGCAGCAGCTGCTCCAAATCTTTGGCACCGAATATCTGCTTCTCGATGATCATCTCCACCATTGAAGTCCTGAAATCGTTGTACGGATCGCTCGAGCTTTTCACCACTGCAAAGCTCCCCTTCACTTTCCCTTCCAACGGCAGCATCCCCCTTTTGTCACCACCTTTAGCTTTGTCGGCAGTCTTTTTAGCGACGACGCCCTTCTTCGGCGACGAGTTGTCGATTTCCCCTCCTCTTTGTTTCCTCCTCCCGGAATCATGATTTTCACGGCGGCGAGGTTTCCGCCGGTGGTGGCGTCGGCTGGCCGAGAGAGCCGACGAATCGGATGAGAGGCTTCTGGAGGAGAAAAACAGAGTATCGGATTCTTCGTCGTTCTCGTACCCATTTTTTACGCCTTTTCCTCCTTCTTCGCAGTCGCTGCTGAACCAATAGTAACTTCCGGCGAAATAGGCGCTGTCGAGGGAGGAAGAACTAAAAAGGGAACTCGTTTCCCGCTTCTGGGCTGTGGCCTTTTTCTTCTTCTTCTTGCTTTCCACCCTCTGTTTTTGGGTACTCTGTTTTTTCTGGTAGTAAGACCGGGTCAGGGGAGAAGCAGGGGACGCCGGAGGGAACCCGTTCCCTTTGCCGGAGTTCGGAACGAGAGGAGGGTATCGTCGGCGGTGGGATTCCTTTCTTCTGGAAGGGATGGTACAGTGATTGATCACTTGACTGGCGTTTTCAGGACAGGTTGCTGCTCTGCATATGGTCGGGAAAGGTTGAGCCTTTAGCGACGAAACAGAGCCGGTTTCATCGTTGTTGGCAGTTTGCTGGTGAGGGAGGAAGGGGGATTTCTCCACGACGTCGGATTGATTCCGGGTCCGGCAGGAGGATCCGAATGATCCCCTGAACATGCGAGAGATCCGGGAACTCAATCGGTTTTCCATGGAAGGCGAAGAAGAAAGCAGAGCAGAGCAAGGACGGAGAGGGGTTTTTTTTTTGGGTTTGTGGAGAAACTGAGAAAGGGGAGAGGGATAAATACAAAGGCCCAAACTGGAAGTGGAAGTGTCATTTATTACTTGGTGGGTTTTTTGAATCGTTTTTTTTGTTTGTTTATAATTGGAGGCAGAGGATGATACTTTCTGCAGCAGTTCTTCGTCTTGTTCCCTTTGTCTGCATGTTGGCCATAGAATGATAGAAATGGAGAATGGATACGACCTTAATTATCCATCAATCATTTTTTAATTATGACTTTTTCTTCTTTTAAGCAGAAGTTATAGCCAAGAAACAGGGGAAGTCAGGTGGAAGAAGAAAAAAAATAACAGGGACACTTTTATTTTGAATAGTTGCTCTTCAATTTTTATTTGAGTTTTATACATGGAATGCGAAATTTCATATATAATCCGCAAATTTCAATAACTCGAAGCCATTCAATCAAATAAGACAATAAGTGAATAACAATAACTCACGCAAATCCCAGTTCTCATGAATGCTCAACAAAATTATGAGAATTGGCCGTAATTAGAACTATGTTGTTGGCCACCAAGAGATTTAACTATAAAAAAAGTATTGTTGTTTGGTGAGAAGAGCTATCATCGGATAATTGTACATTAATAGTCCTGCTATTAGACTGGCATAAATTACCTTCGACACAAGAGGAAAGAATTGAAGTCAGAAGCACACCGTGTTAACCCTCCTTATCTTACCACTTGAGTTAAATATTGATGGTTAGACAAAATATCTATTAATATTAGGTGTCGTGCATAGTGAACATCAATCATATTTACTAAAGATTTTAATATCATAGCGATAATTTCCTCTCGATAATTTGAGTTGTTGGAACTTGGGAGTTGGGAGCGATCAAGTAATTTTTTTCTTATTGGTGACTCAACAAAGGGAAATACGAGAGGGTTGTGTTTTACGTTGTGTTCAAAATGTATATTTATTTTTATATAAAAAATAGAGAAGCTTATATTATTCAAAAAATCGTATATGCATATATTTTGATAAAAAAAAGATAGTTTATAGTGTTAATACAATTTTTATTTATTATTTTGCGTCTGCCGGGAGTCGAACCCGGGTCTATTGCTTGGAAGGCAATTATCCTAACCGTTGGACTACAAACGCCATTGATATGTAGTTTGAATCGTGTAATAATTTGTGTATCATATTCGTAATAGAAAGTCAAACAATTTTCTATACTTAGGCTAGCATGAATGTATCAATGTATCTTCAAACCTCAAACCTAATCCTTTGATTATGCCGAGAGAATCACTGCCCCATCATCCAAGATTTACAGGAATTTCCCATTTAGGATCAATGACACATAACTTTTACTCTCTCTTTTTTTTTATCGACAAAGAATCTCTTATACTTAAATCAGGTTGCATGCGAATAACGTTCATTAGAGTTAGAATGTCCAAACCTGTTAATGTTTGTTGATACAGAACTTTACCTTCAACACTAGAGGAAGGAACTGAAGTCAGGAGCACACCGTATTAACTCCACTTACCTTCCCACTTTGAGCCAAATCTTGATGGTTTGATAAAATCGATTATCGATCATTCCATCAACTATTAAAAATATTATGTGTCATGCTGAGTGCATCACTCCCATCAACCAAAGACTTTAATATCATATCGATAATCTGAGTAACTGGAATCTATCAAGACTATAAAAAAAAATGATCGCAATCAATGAAAATGAACTCAAAGGAGAGCTACTAGGACAGTTGACAGTTAGGTCTCTAGATAGAACTCTAAAAGCTCTGTGATTCCTGTTTCCAACTCTTTCTTCCTCTTCGATTTCCTTTTGCTATATCTCTTCCTACTTTAAATATGTTATCCGAATTGGATCTTTTTATGAATGTTTCCACCTACCTTAACAGATCACAATCTAACAATTCTCACCCTGGAGGCTAACTTTATACCTTGCTCTGTTTTGTAATGCCATTATCAGAAGGAAGAGCCCATTGGTAACATCAAACTATGGCCATATGATTGTTAATGAGATTTTGAAAAAAAGATGTACACTTTCGAAAAGGGTTAGGAGTGTGAACATTCCCTTCATACCAATTCTGACAGAATTGAGATCGGTCCAGATAAAAATACATGTATAATTTCGATTTAGTTTCGAAAGTTAATCCGCAGTGCAGCTGATGTGACTGGATTTTCATTTTTCCATCTCAAATGACAAATATTATGTTTTTGAAGTTAACTAGAATGTGATGAATCGATTCAAAAAAATAATGTGCCACATCAAAATCATATACAAATAATTATTATCATTTGAATCCTATACTAATTCGATTTGATTCCGAAACCATAGTGTTGTCCAATGTCCACCATAGAAAGGGTTTGAGAGGGAGATGGCTATTACATTCTAGGATAACAAATCAAACAATTGTGCAGGTCAAATTGAACCACCTGGTTAAGGAAACTCTTTCTGCTTGATATTCAGTAAATGCCAAACCAACCCTTCCTTGGGAGCTTGTCCCTGAATAACCTAGCTAGCTTTTGGCATTAGGGTTTTTGAAGGAGGACCAAAGCATAATTTTCCACCGTTTGAATTTCAAATGACTGAATAACTAAACTTCAACAACAATTGCTGTCATGAAATGAAGATTTTCAACAGATTTACCTACTTACTTACAGTGTTTCTTTATGGATAGTTAAGAGGTTGACAGTTTGGTTTTGGTTTCCGCCGAAACCGGACTGGTTTTATAGGCTTATCCGTTTTCCTTAACGAGTAAAATCAATAAGCCCTTAACGGTTTCTGTTAAAATCGAAAAACGATAAAAAAATCGATAAGGTTCAAAGCAATCAAAGTTTCGTCTTTGGTTTTCCGATTAATTATTACCTAAACTGAATCTGTTAAAGGCTTATCGATTTTCAATTTTAACCGAAAACTATTAAGAGTCGGTTTCGAGCAATTGACTAATTCGATTTTCGGTTTGTAATGGTTTTCGATTCAGTTAACCGAATCACCTCCAGTAGTTGGCTACAGAAGACAGTGACCCATATGTGTGGGTTTTTTGAGGTAGCACAAAGGAATTAATGGAGATGGGTTGTTCCAAAGCAGTGGCTGGCCTTGTCTGGTAGCTTTCTTTATGTAGCATTTACAGTACTGCAACTTCGTTTCAGAATATGAATAAAGCTAGCTAGCTAGCTAGGGCATTTTCCATTCTTCAGTCACTGAAACGAAGTTGCAGCAGAAGCAACGTTCTTACATCTCTAAGCTTCCTGTAATGGCAAACTTTGTACCGTTTGTCCTCATTAATGCTTAAATGGGGGACATATAACGACCCTTTTAAATACAGGGTTTTGTTTTTTATGTATTGTGTTTTGTGAGTTTTTCGGGGTCTGAATCGGACATGAATCGGGAAATTTCAATGGATCATGGTTCATTGGTTCTTCGTTAGCCGGTAGTTACCTGTTTGTAGAACATTTTTATTTTTTTGTAAAATAGAAATATAAAGCTGACATATAGAAAGTTATTTTCATTTCATATGGAAATTATTCATTCCTCGTAAATAATTTAAGATTCATTGCATATGGAAATTATCGAACCGCTAACACCGATTCATTGTCTAGATGTTTAAAACCATTTCGTTCTCTGCTAATTAATAACAAAGGGTTAATAACCATTTGATATGCTCCTAATTAATAACAGAGGGTTGAAAAAGTTAGCTATTTTGACTTGCAAGAACAGGCAAAATTAATTTCATGTGCACGAAAATTGAAACTAAAATATTTATGGTTTCTTTTCAGCCATTGAAGCCGGAACAAACCCTAAACCCCAAAATTTTGGGCTAGAGAGAGACTGTGGAGTTTTGAAATCTGAGATTTGAGAGTGGAGGACAATAGAAAGGTGAAAATTTGTCACCTTTTCCATGTTTTCTTGCGGGCGGGACCAAAATCCTTTTTGGTTGTCAAAGATCAAGGACTTTTTCAAATATACTGCAGACCTTTCTTGTATTTGTAATTTCTTTTTCCCAAAAGACAGATATTGGTATATCTATGGGATTTAATTACTTAGGTTCATTTGGATGGATCAATTTAGAAATGAGTCAATTTGATCAATTGTCTCGTTTATAAAACGAGTCAATTCGAATTATCTGTCCCACCCCAGGTAATTGAAATTGACTCAAAACGGATCAATTCAAAATACCTCAGGTAGATTGATCCATCCAAAATTTTTGCTGGCAAACGAGGCAATTTTGTACAATTGTCTCAAAACGAGACAATTGTGTCAAATTGATCCGTTACAATTTCTCATCCAAACGACCCCTATAATAGGTGCATTCATGCACCGGCTTAGTCATACCTTATATGAACTCCCACTTATCAGCAATGTAGCTACTACAAAACGAGTTGATCGGAGCCGATCATCAACATACCACAATCGTGTCGAACCCAAATAACATTGGATTAGAGTTAGACTCAGAAGAAGTACTATAAATATTTCTCATACTTTTCTGTAATCTGTATCTACTCGAAGTATAGCGAAACTGGGCTCTCTCCTTCCCAGGAAGTAAGTCGTATGTGTGTGTTTTTCCGCTTCTATTTCTTGCATTGTCGAATCCTCCTATTTCTCGATCCACAGAAAACCGTCGTGAGATTCACAAAATCTTCTTCGAATTCTCCTCCTGATTTCGGTCCATTAATCACATCATACCACCTCATGTTCAAGCAGCAGAGAGAGTGCCCTCCACCAGATCATCATGCTCTGTTTTTTAATGCTGTGCGGCGGCAAACACCAGAGCGTGCTAGATGCTAGTGTGCTCCACCTACATTGGTTACTACTGGCTTTACATAATATAATAGTGCGTACGATCGGCCGTGTGCGCGCATAATCAAGGGCTTATGTACAATCCATCTCTCTTATAACATCAATTTTCGAACAAGCATCTGAAGGGATCGACAACCCTCCAAGAGCACCGAAACAGAGTCCTCCGGAAAACAGAGTGCTAACCCCATCTTTTCAAAAAACAGAGCACTCCCAAAGTGCTAGCCGACACAGTTTTTTCTGGGGAAAGGCTGTTTCAGCTTTTGGGTAATGTATGTGACAAGCGGAAGGAACAAACAACCGAATCCTAGATGGTTTTGACATTTTCATCCACCATCATCATCATCATTTCCTGATGAAGCCGCACCAGTCCTACCTTTTTGGCTGTGATTGAAGGAGCTCTGAAAATTTCAAAACCCTAAAATAAAAAAACTGCCAATGAGAAAGCTAGGGGCTGGTTGGGACTAGGGTGGCTTCTTGTTCTTGACAAAGGGCGGTGGGTGGAGCATATCTTGAGTCTGCATTGCGTCACTCGGTTCATGGGTGCTTGTCCTTTCTGCTTGGCATGCATCGGTGTGGGTCGGTGTGGGTTGTGAAATTGGGCGATTTCAATAACCAGGTGGGTGTTCGATTGTTGTTTGGTAACTCAAAAACTCGCTCAACTGTCTTCTCTTGAATTCGAGTTAACTAATGAGATTGAAGTTTGTACAAATTTACTATTTTTTTAGTTCAATCAATTATTAACGTTTGGGGTCGTTTGGGGTCGTTTGTCGAGAAGAGTTCAAATATCGATCTTATATATCCTTACTTCACCTAACAGAAGAAAACTTAGGGGTCGTTTGCTTGTTGGATTTGAAAAATGAGGGTTTTGGCTAAAAAAAACCGTTGGATTTATGAGGGATTTGTATCATCATGGATTTGAAGAGTTTATTGTTTGCATGATAGATTTGATTATATAATTATGATGGATTTGCTATAAATATAACTAGCCATCAAGGATTTACAAATCCCACCTCAATATGTGGGATTTACAAGTCCGTGGGGTCCACGGATTTGGATCCAAAAAAGGGGGAACAAATCCGTGGACCCCACGGATTTAACACCTAACAACAAACAATGGACTTGGCTAAAAACCATCATGCTTGGGATTTGAGTCCCAAATCCATGACCCAAATCCATCAAGCAAACGACCCCTTAACAAAACCTCACATATTGTCATCAATTACCCACATTTCATCGACAAGTACATGCTCGAGTGAGGGCGGGTCATTTCCCTTATCACCTATCAAGTGCTAGGTCAGTGGTGGAGCTACGTATAGATCGGCCGGGGTGGCTTATAGGCACTCCTCGATATTTGATCTTTTATTGTAATTTATGGATCATACGAGAAACAAATGAGGATAATTGATGGAATATGGACTATCAACCCCCTCCTCCAAGATCTTAGCTTCTTTTTTTTTCAATCCTTCCTCACTATAAATTCCGACTTCGCCACTATGCTAAATAAGTATTATCCAGACACCGGAGAAAGTTTTGTTGTGTTTTCTCCGGAAAATGTTTCGATCTATGCCCTCTTCACTTGACTGGTCTCTCTTCCGATCCTCTAGAATCTAGCATTAATTCAGCAGTGCAAGTTTTACCTTCACCAGCAAAGTTTGATTAAGATCTCCAATTCCTTGCATGACTCAAGTTGACCATTAAACAGTCTCAAATAGAGAGTTTGGAAGAGTATATATCATGGAGGAGTAGTAGTAGAAGACAAGCTATCTTACCTCCATTATTATGTTCAAAAAAATTTGTCTGATGTTGCCATCTTCTTGGCTACTTTTCCCTACCATATGTTCCCCACCACAGCACTAGTGCCTTCCATCCCAATTCTCACCAAGTAAATGAAACCAAACTTTTACCCATATGTACAGAATTTTTCTAGATCATGAGATGAGTCCAGAGGTAGCTGTTAGGTTCTTTTTTTTATATCGTTGTACTTGCTTAAGATTGGATAGTTATTCTTGATCGTGATTTGCTTTCAATAGATTGATTCTCACCAAAGTTTTATTGAAATGGCAATGCCCCACTCTCTATTCTCGGTCTTTTTCGTTCTTCCTTTCTCATGCAGATATAGTTGGTAGTGATTTTGTTTCATCTTTCAGCATGGTCTCAATATTGCTTGGGAGTTGAGAATTACGAAAGTTGTTCTACAGACAGACTCACATACAACAATTCATTTGATATAGTCTGCAACTCCTTTTCATCTGCATTTTTTTGCTGGTTGCAAAGATTCGTCGACTACTATCATTACCTGAGACAGGTTCAATTTGAACATGTATGTAGAGAGGCAAACTTTGTAGCTGGTCGTTACACCATACTTTACTGATAGGTGAACACATATTTGATTCACCATGCTGAAATTTGGGATATTGGTTGTATAATAATCAGCTTGAGGTTGTACACCTCTGAGTAATTAATGGATAAAGGCCAAGACAATTTTAAGCGCTCCATTTTTACTACAAAAAAAAAAACAAATGGTAGTTATTTTAGATATTGGTAAATATTATTATTTTGTAAAGGAGTATCAATAAATTTGTGTTTACTAAATTACCCGTCGCTATAATTAAGATTTCGATGATATCGACCAGGATTTAGTTTAGCTTACACGAAGTATATATCTCACTATAAAGAAAAACATCAAACCAAACATTTGTTATACACCTATCAAATTCAACACTATAGAGTCATTTACACAACAACCAATTTACAACTACACATCATAATCCATGCACACCAAACTGTCAAACCTAGCCCATCAAGTCACTCTAACCCTAGCTAGTCCCACAAAATACCCACTTCTTCATTAGTCACAAACCTAACCAAACTTCAACTACCCATTATAATACCCATCTAGTTGTTACAAAAGGTGGGAACTTTTAGACACCAAAATGACCATTCTAGGTCAATTCCAAATCTACCCTTCTCACTTCCTTCCTCTCCACGTCACCTCCCTCCTTGCCCTGAAATAGGAATTGGATCTCCTCCAAGCTCTTCCCTTTGGTCTCCGGCATCACCACATAGAAGAAAACCGTCCCGACCACCATTATCCCACCTAGCACGAAGAACATCCCTCCGAAACTTATCTTCATCGAAACGGTCAGAAACGTCATCGAAACGACCCCACTAACCAACCGGTTCACCGAGATCGCGAGCCCCGATCCCTGGGCTCGCAACCTCAAGGGGAAAATCTCGGAGGAGTAGACCCATGTGATGGGCCCGAGCCCGATTGAGAAGAACGAGACGAACCCGCACACGGCCACTATGCACATCGTGACGGCCCATAACGGCTTGGAGTCGGAGTGCTGAAGGATTTTCGAGCCCAGGCCCAGTATGAATAACGACAGGGCCATTCCGGTCGAGCCCAGTAAGAGAAGCGGCCGCCTGCCGAATCGGTCCAGGTAGAACGCGGACACCATCACGAAGGCAGCTTTGGAGAGTCCCATTATGACGTTCACGCCGAAGAGCTGCCGCTTGTTGTGGATCCCGGCGGCGCGGAAGACCTCCGGTGTGTAGTAGATCACGGCGTCGTTCCCTGACGCCTGCATGAAGAAGTTGATCCCGACGGCGGCGACGAGCATCCGGCGGACGGGTTTGGAAGGTTTGAAGAGCAGCTCCTTCCAGACTCCCTGCCCCCGCCAGGTGTTCGATGAAATGCCGCTGTGAAGAAATTGAAATTCCCTTGACGCTGAATCGGTTATCTCCTGGAGCCGGAGCTCGGCCTCTTGGGGGGAATTCGAGATTCGGATGAGAACCCTTTTCGCCTCGTCCGGTTTCCCTTGCATCACGAGCCAGCGAGGGGATTCCGGCATGGCCATGACGCCGAAACCGATGACTAAAGAGGGGACCGCGGCTAAACCCAGCATGATTCTCCAGTTTATGTTCGACGGAAGGCCCGAGAGAGCGTAGTTGACGATGTAGCCTACGAGAATCCCGATTACGATGAAAACCTCAGGGAGGGAGGTGAGGAATCCGCGATTCATGGCCGGGGACAGCTCGGCGGTGTAGACTGGAGCGATCATGAGGGAGTATCCGACTCCAATTCCGGCGACGACTCTGCCGGCGAGGAGGAAAGGGTAGGAAGGTGCGAAGCCCATCAGAACCGCGCCGATTAGGAACGTGGTCGCTGCTAAGACGATGGTCTTCCGCCTGCCGATGTAATCCGAAGTCTTGCCGGAGGCCAGCGAGCCGAACAGCGAGCAAATGTTCAGCACGCCGACGAGAATCTCCACTTGCACAGACGAGATTTTCAGATTCTCTTTGATGAAAAGGACAGCCCCGCTCATCACACCAATATCTGCAATCGAATTGAAGTCATCATCCCAATTCTACAAAGATTCAGTCAAATCTGGGTGGAAAGTGAGGGAGAGAAAAAGCTGATGCCTTTTTGGTTTAGTCCAGACGTACCGTAGCCTAAGAGGGTGGAGTTGGTGGAGGCGAGAAGAGCGCAGGCGAGAGCGTAGCGGTTGAGCCCTGCCGCTTTGCCCTGACTGGGAACTGCAGCATCGCCGCCGCTGCCGCCGGCGTCGGGTTGCATTTGTTGTTGGGAATGGGACTTCTTGTTGTTGTTGTCAAGCTGAGCTGCTTCCATGTGGGTAGTTGAGTGAATCACTACTGATTTCAGTCTGTGGTGTGAGGATGAGGTTTGATTTGAAACGGCCGGCTGAAAAGGCGCAGGGGAAGTGATAATAGGCTTTGTTTGATTGCAGAGGATTTGTCTTTGCCGTCCCTTTTTTGGGTACCCTGAATTCAGTGGGTTCTTTCTTTCTTTATCTTTACAGTGTGGCAGAGAGAAAAGAAGAGCAGCTACCCAAATTCCATGGGCACCGATCCCATGAACTATAAAGCAGGTAGGCCTTCTTGTTTGTCCAAAATACAACTCCCTTTTTTCCTCATTTTAGATTCTTCATGAGAATCACTGTTAGATTAGACACAATTTGTTCTTTCTAACTACTTCTCCCTTTCCTATGATAATAGGTTTCTCACACAAATAAATTAGCACGTTTCTTGGCACTTGTTGATATTAAATTCTTTGTTATGCGTTTCAAACTCTCGGAGAGTTGTATATATGCTCGAGGGGATTCCTCACCTAATAGTCTAATACTACATCCACGATTCTCGATATATATGGATGCGGTAAGCTATTTTTAACTACTAAGAGGTACTTTTAAGGAACACGTGAGTGACATGAGCTGACTTAGGTGAGAGGGTATCGGATGAAAGATTCAATTTGACTCGAGCACACTTATCGACTTTATCTCTCTCACTCCATTCGTCACTATTCGTTGCTTTTCTTTATGTTATTTCGCCACTCGAATTTTCGATAAACTCACACGAATTTTCGATTTTCGATAAACTCACAGTCATGGTTGTCACGCCGGTGGCATGCCACCCGGTTGAACCTGGTTCAACCTGTGCCGGTCATGAAACCATGGTAAAGGAAACCGTACCGGACGTCATACCGGATCCGCCAGTGGTAGGGTATTTTGTGGTACTACCGTGGTTCAATCGTTGTGTACCGGTAAAATACCGTTTTTGTAATTAAATAATATTTTTTTGTTAAAAAACCGTACCGGCAGATTCGGGATACCGTTTCGGAATAATACCGGAATAAAATCGGAATATACCGAATAACAAACAACATTCTTATGCAAGGAACAATGAGCCCAAGTTGGATCACTTTTGCTTCGTACACTCTTTGCGATGACCTTCAGATTACTAGGAGTTACTCCTTTATCAACCGATTTGGCTTCTTCTCCACCTCCACTAGCCATTGCGGTCAAAACAACCAAAATTGTCATTGAAATAGAAATTTACAAATTACTGTCATACAGATGTCTAAGACACAGGAGTTTGAGTAAAACTCTATTTAGCATGATTTATTTTTAATGTCTTGGACCTGATGCATAACTTCAGATTAGTCTGATCACTTTCACAGATATAGGATAACTGAAACCGAAAGACACATATAACATATAAATATATAATATAGCTCGCTGGCAAGAAAAAAACGAAATTTGCTCTCACTTTAGCTTCAAATTTGGATATGAACCAAAACAGATAGGCGAGGAATGCCGGCTGAGGAGCAGGAGAGGGAGAGGCGAGGCGCGCCGGCTGAGGACGGAGGAGCGACAGAGTGGTGGAGCTGAGCAGCGCGGCGGCGGATCTCCTTTCGTCGGTCGCCACAGGCTGGTTGCGGGTGTCACTTTCGCGCGCCAGTCTCGGGTCGCCGGTTGCAGGCGGCCAGATGAGATGAGGAGCGGCGGAGCGGGGCTGCGTCTCCTCTGCCTCTGGTGTGGAGAAGAAAGACCCAGGAAAAGAAAACTCCAAAGTCCAAAGGCAAAATCTCGATACATTAGGTTTTTGCGGTTTTGGCTTTCGGCCGAATTTTTTTTTTGTGTGTGCCAAACGACGTAGTCTGACTGTCATACAGCTTACCGCCGGTTAGACCAAAACCGGGCGGTTTTTTGTTTTGTGCCGGTTAAACCAGCAAAACCGGGCGGCACGGTAATCTTCCCGCAAATAGCCTGCCGTATCGTCCCTGGTCCGGTTCCCGGTTTTACCGGTCGAACCGGCCGGTACGATCCGGTTTCCTGGTCCATGCATGAAACTGGCATGACACCACCGGTATGACCGGTATGATCGACTTACGCATTCTAAGTAAAATGACATCATTTTAATGAGTTTAATGAATAAAAAAATTAATTTATTATTCATTTTATGAATGTAATAGTTAAAAGTTGATGATATTTGTTGGATTGTAACTAAATTGTCCACAAATATGTTTTATATATGATTAAATACATGAGATATTAATTGTTTTCACATTTTTTTAAACCGGCATGAACCGGCACAAACTGGTTATACCACCAGTCGTACCATTCCATTTGCCAAACCGGCATAACGGTATAAACCGGTTTGACAACCTTGCTCACAGTTCAAATTGGAATATTCATTCAGATTCTTACTCCACCACATCATTATGAATGACTGAATAGAAGAATGTATAAAGTTCTGTGCACTTGCAACAAATAAACAAATGTAAGTGTTTAAATCACAAATTGTATTCCAAGTATACCAAAAAAAAAAAAGAATGCCCAAGAATTTTGCTACACTTACCTCTGTAAAGTACAACAAAAAACCGACTGGAAATCAAGAAACAAAGAGCCTTCGACTCTCATCATCTTGATCCTCAAACAGAAGCCCAATCTCCTCCAACGTCTTCCCTTTCGTCTCCGGCAAGTAACAGTAGAAGAAAACCGACGCCATCACCATAACCCCGGAGAGCGCCAAGAACATCCCTCCAAACGACATCGCTTCGGAGACGCTCAGGAACGTCATCGCCACCACCCCGCTCACCAGCCTGTTGACGGAGATCGCCAAACTGGACCCTTGAGCACGCAACCTCATCGGAAAAATCTCCGACGAGTACACCCACGTGATGGGCCCAAGCCCAATCGAGAAGAACGACACATCAGCACAAACCGCCACGATGCACAGAACAATAGCCCAAACGGGCTTATCATCCTGGCATTGGTCCAGATACTTCGAGCCCAGGCCCAACAACGCCAGAGAAACCGCCATCCCGGTCGAACCGAGCAGCAGATGACAGAATCGAAGAATTGAAGATTGCAGAGTTGCAGAAGAGAAGCAGTGAAGAAGAGAAGTCGAGCAGATGAAGAAGAAGAAGAAATCCAGATTGGGGAAGGATTCACTGGAATCATTGAAGAAGTAAAGAAGAACGACGACGTATTACTAGAAGAGAAGTGAACAAGAGAAGACGACAACGTTTTGTTTATTTCCACTTAATAGCCGTTAAGTTACTGTTTAGTTTTGTCTTGGACGAATGATGTAAGGACAACTGGTTCATTTTGTTTAATTGAATCCCAGCTATAAAAGCTGAAGGAAGACTCAGAGATACCTGAGCTTCTTCTCCAAATCTCATTACAAAATTGTTATGGTATCAGAGCTCAACGAGCTCTAGGGTTTTTCCGCCGCCCACAGCACAATGTCTGCAGCACAGACTCCACCAAACACGCCGCCGAACAATGGAACAGGTGGTAGTGCATCGACGACGACTACAGGTGCAACAGGGTTTCAGTTTGGGACCTTCAACCAGAACCAACTTCAACCTGAGACAGTGGTATTTGGTAACCCTTACTATCTCAACCCAAATGAGAATATGTCTCAATCCCTTGTTGCTGAGAGTTTCGATGGAACTAATTATGTGATGTGGAGTAGATCTATGCAAGTTGTTCTTAAGACTAAGAACAAACTGGGTTTTATTGATGGGTCAGTGCCCATTCCTCCTCGAGATGCAGATTTGTTTAACTTGTGGGATGCTTGCAACACTGTAGTTCTCTGTTGGCTACAGAACTCTATGATTAAGGAGATAAGAAGGTCTGTATTGAATCACACAAATGCTAAGGCATTATGGGATGAGTTGAAGAGACGATATGGTCAACCTAATGCACTTAGAATCTTGAACTTGGAAGATGAAATACAGGCTTGTAAACAGGGAACTAGATCTATAAGTCAGTATTACACAGCCATCAAAGGGCTCTGGGATGAGTATGTTGAGTTTAGTCCTGTTGTTCCATGTGTTTGTGCACCTGGGAATCCCATACCCTGTGCTGCTGTGGCTGCTTTTATCCAGAAGCAGGAGACTGACTACCTTGTAAGGTTCCTGAGAGGACTCAATCCAGAGTATGAAGTGATCAAGACTCAACTCCTGCTGCAGAAACCATTGCCTACAGTATCAACAGCAGTGGATGATTTGCTGCAACATGAGCAGAAGTTGAAGGCAGATAACTCTGCAGGAAACAAGAAAGGCCAAAGTCTGGCTTTGGCAGTTGGTGGAAGCCCTGGTAACAATTCCAGGGATAACAGTTCAAGGGACAACAATGAAGGAAGAGGAAGGAAGTTTTGTCGATTTTGCAAAATGAACAACCACAATATTGAAGACTGCTGGAAGCTGAAAAGAAAGCAGGAAATGCAAAGAGATGGCAGTGGTAATGGGGGATCATCCTCTAGTTCTGGTTCAAGCTCCAGCACTCCAAGGTTTGCTGGTTCTATCTCTCAGAACAGTGGAAGTGACAGTGTGTCTGAGGGAAGTGTCATGAATGAGAGCAAATCATCCACAACACTTGGTTTTACTCCAGAAGAGATGAACAGACTCAGGATTTTATTGCAATCTGGTGCTGGCACTCAACCTTCACCACCCACCTCACCATCCATTAACCACCAAGCATATTCAGCCACTCTTTACCCTACCACCTTCCCTTCATTCTCAGGTAAACATGTCCTATCTTCCTCTCAGAACTGTAAAACACAAAACCTAGCCTTATGGATTGTAGATACAGGAGCCTCAGATCACATAGCCTGTCATCTATCCCTTTTCTCCAGTTATAGACCTGTCCAAGATACTTTTGTTTATCTCCCAAATAGCACAAAAGTTAATGTCACATGTATAGGGACAGTTACACTAGATTGTGGATTAAAACTACATGATGTTCTCCTAGTGCCACAATTCTCTTTTAACCTTATCTCTGTTAGCAAACTTACCCTTGATAACCCATATTCCTTACATTTTCATTCTGATAAATGTGAAATCCAGGACCTCTTAAACCAGAAGAGGATTGGTTTAGCCCACACAACTAGAGGACTCTACCATCTTGCCCTATCTTCAAGACAACCAAAGCCTTCCTCACCACTTCTTCAACACCAAGCAGCCACCATCTTCAACTTCATTCCACAAGACCTCAACCTGTGGCACTGGAGACTAGGACACCCTAGCCATGATAGGCAGTCTTTACTTAGTCATGTAATTCCCTCTATAGCTAGAACCAAGACCACTCACTGTGAAGTGTGTCATTTGTCCAAACAAAGAAAATTACCTTTCCCTGTTAGCACCAGCATTGCACCTGAGGCTTTTCATTTGATACACATGGATATTTGGGGACCATTGTCCACAGTTTCTTATGATGGATTTTCATACTTTTTAACTGTTGTGGATGATTTTACTAGATGTGTGTGGGTGTACTTGATGAAACACAAAAGTGAGGTAAGGGGGTTAATCCAAGGTTTTTGCAAGTTGGTTGAGAACCAGTTTCACAAATCTGTTAAGGTTATTAGAACAGATCAAGGTAAAGAATTTGAAATGTGTGAATTCTTTAGTTCAGCAGGCATAGAACACCAAGTCTCCTGTGTAGAGACCCCTGAACAGAATGGGAGAGTGGAAAGGAAACATCAGCACATTCTTAATGTGGCTAGATGTTTGAAGTTTCAGTCAGGGCTGCCTTTGGTTTATTGGAGTGACTTTATACTACATTCTGTTTACTTGATCAACAGAATGCCTACCCCCATTCTAAACAACAGAACCCCCTATGAACTGTTACACAAGAAAGCTCCATTTTTAGGCCATTTGAAGGTATTTGGATGTCTCTGTTATGCCAATACCTTGGTCCATGGTAGAACAAAATTTGCTCCTAGAGCAAAGCAGTGTGTGTTTATAGGGATCCCCTCTGGTCTCAAAGGATACAAAGTCCTTGACATCCACACCAAGCAAGTCTTTTTCTCCAGAAATGTTTCATTCTATGAAACTATACTTCCTTTCAAATCTTCTGACACAACCTCCTCTCCTCCCAGTCCATCTACTCCTAATACTTCTGATACAGTTCCAGCTCCATCTCTGCATATTCCCTTTTCTATTAATCCTGCTCAACCTGCTCCACAGTCTCAATCATCCATGGATGAAGGGGGGGATCCTGAGCAGGAGTTCTCATCTGGTCCAAGGACAACACCAAGAAGTGACCACTACACTTATTTTGACTCAGATGAGCAAGAGCTATATCCTCAAGCTGATCCAGACCTTAATGAACCCAGCACAGAGGATAATAGAAGGCCCTCAAGACACATAAAACTGCCAACCAGGTACAATGATTATGAATTGGACTCCTCTCTCAAGTTTGGAGCATTTGGTGGGGTAAATGCTAGCACCAAGTACCCTATCTGTCTGAATGTTAATTCTTTAAGCAAAGAAGACAGATGTTTTGCACTGAGTGTTATCAATCTTGTGGAGCCAAAATCTTATTATGAAGCAGTGAAATCAGATGTGTGGAACAGGGCTATGAAAGATGAAATGCATGCCTTGGAAGAAAACCAGACATGGGACATAGTTCCATTGCCACCAGGAGTGAAGGAAATAGGGAATAAGTGGGTTTATAAGATAAAACTACATCAGGATGGATCACTGGAAAGGAGTAAAGCTAGACTAGTAGCTAAGGGCTACACACAGGTGTATGGAATTGATTTCCTAGACACCTACTCACCTGTAGCTAAGATTAATACAGTGAAAACATTCTTAGCAGTTGCAAGTGTGAAGCAGTGGGTCCTAGAGCAATTGGATGTATCCAATGCTTTTCTACATGGAGATTTAGAGGAAGTTGTTTACATGAAGTTACCCCTGGGATTGGAAGTACCATCTGGAAGCAATCAGAAGATGACTTGTAGACTGAAAAAGTCACTCTATGGCCTCAAGCAGGCATCAAGGCAATGGTTTGCAAAATTGACAGGTTTCCTTTTGAAGTTTGGTTTTTCACAATCTGCTTCTGACTATTCTCTTTTTACCAAGTGGACACATGGGAAGATTACAGTTTTGTTGGTGTATGTTGATGATATCATATTGGGAGGTGATTCAAGGAAGGACATTGAGCAAGTGAAGGCAGCATTAAGTAAGGAATTTAAGATAAAACTTCTTGGACCTTTGAAATACTTTCTGGGGTTGGAAGTGAACAGAAATGAGAATGGACTGGATGTGTGTCAAAGAAAGTACTGCATTGACTTGTTAAAGGATACAGGGTACCTGGAATCTAAAGGATGTAAAACTCCAATTGATACCAAAGTAAAGTTGTCATCTCAGGGCACTTTATTAGAAGATGCAGAAAGTTACAGAAGACTGGTGGGAAGACTGCATTATCTAACTATCACTAGACCTGACATAGCCTTTGCTGTTCAGCAGCTATGTCAGTACCAGAAGTCTCCTTGCTCAGAGCACATGCAAGCTGCTTACAGGGTCCTCAGGTACTTGAAATCATCTCCTGATCAGGGTATTCATTTTAGCAATCAGGCTGAGTTAAAGTTGACAGGATACAGTGACTCAGATTGGGCAAGTTGCCCAGACACCAGAAGATCCATCACTGGATATTGCACCATGCTTGGTTCCTCCCTGATAACCTGGAAAACAAAGAAGCAAACAACTGTCTCAAGATCTTCATCTGAGGCAGAGTATAGAGCACTGGCTCACCTTGTCTGTGAAGTGGAATGGCTGAAGAGGTTGCTGACAGAGTTAACAGTGGAGGTCCCATTGCCTATAACAGTATACTGTGACAACAGATCTGCTATTCACATAGCAGAAAACCCTGTTTTCCATGAAAGAACAAAGCACATTGAAATTGACATTCATGTGACTAGGGAAAGGATCAAGACAGGTTTAATCACTTTGAAGTACATCAACACAGCAGAGCAACTAGCTGATTTATTCACCAAAGGATTGGATCGATTCAGGCTAAGAGACTTACTTGTCAAGTTGGGGATCAAGTTGATACCACCAACTTGAGGGGGGCTGACAGAATCGAAGAATTGAAGATTGCAGAGTTGCAGAAGAGAAGCAGTGAAGAAGAGAAGTCGAGCAGATGAAGAAGAAGAAGAAATCCAGATTGGGGAAGGATTCACTGGAATCATTGAAGAAGTAAAGAAGAACGACGACGTATTACTAGAAGAGAAGTGAACAAGAGAAGACGACAACGTTTTGTTTATTTCCACTTAATAGCCGTTAAGTTACTGTTTAGTTTTGTCTTGGACGAATGATGTAAGGACAACTGGTTCATTTTGTTTAATTGAATCCCAGCTATAAAAGCTGAAGGAAGACTCAGAGATACCTGAGCTTCTTCTCCAAATCTCATTACAAAATTGTTAGCAGAAGCGGCCGCCGCCCGAACCGGTCGAGAAACAGAGCCGAAACCAAGGCGAAAGAAGCTTTAGCCACTCCCATTATCACCGTGACTCCAACCAGCTGTCTCTTGCTCGAAATTCCGGCGTCTTTGAACACTTCAGGACTGTAATAAACCACCGCATCGTTGCCGGAAGCCTGCATGAAGAAGTTGACCCCGATCGCCGCGATTACAATTCGTCGAATCGCATTCGACCTCGGGGAGATTAGCTCGTGCCAAGACGGTCCATTTGAAGGCAAGTCCAGTGACGCCTTCACCATTTCGTTGACCCTCGAGTCAACTGATTCAACCTCTTCCTCCGACGAGGACGTTTTGATCAGGACCCGTTTCGCCTCGGCGAATCTGCCTTTCATCACGAGCCAGCGGGGCGATTCGGGCATGAAAACGACGGCGAATCCGACCAGGAGAGCCGGGAGTGCGGCCAATCCGAGCATTACCCGCCAATTGAGGCTCGCCGGAAGGCCGGCGAGGAAGTAATTGGAGATGTAACCCAAGAGGATTCCGACGTTGATGAAGACTTCGGGGAGGGAGGCGAGGAATCCGCGGGTGGAGGCAGGGGAGAGCTCGGCGGAGTAGACCGGAGCGATCATCAGGGAGAATCCGACGCCGATTCCGGCGACTACCCTGCCGGCCATGAGGAAAGGGAACGATGGTGCGATTCCCATTAGGATTGCGCCCAGGAAGAATGTGGCTGCTGCGAGGAGGATGGTGTAGCGCCGGCCGATTTGGTCGGAGGTTTTACCGGCGGCTAAGGAGCCGATTAGGGAGAATATGTTGAGACAGCCCACTAGGATTTCTTCTTGGGTCGATGAGATTTGGAGGTCTTCCTTGATGTAAAGCGCCGCGCCGCTCATCACTCCGATGTCTGGAAAAACGTAGTTCCGATCAATTAGGGCTATAGGGAAAATTAGGCCAAATCCCCAATTGGGTAGTCCAATTGATTACAATCCTCACCGGTAATTAATAGACTTGTGCTCGAATTTCATTATCAGCGACCGAATTTCGGGAAATTAAACCGGACGAATTTGTAGAAAAGGGAGAAATAGAAAACAGGGGAACTCACCGTAGCCCAGGAGGATTGAATTCGTGGAGGCGAGAATCGCGCCGGCGAGAGCATATCCGTTGACGGAGGTTCTCCGATGACTGCGGGATGGGCCTCCATGTTTGAGTGAATTCCGGTAAGATGATTCGGAATCAGGGAGACGGCCGTAACAGTCTCCTCCTCCTCCGCCGCCGCCGCCGCCAGGGTCGGATTCCAGAGAAGGAGGACTACCGGTGAATTGCATGTCTCTGTTTTCTGAATCGAAAGACTGGAACTTTCTTGAAAAGGGTTAACGAAAAACAGAATTTGTGAGAAGCAAAAAAGATCGAATTGACGGAGAAGCCCCTTGAGGGTTTTGTGCCTTAAGCCGGAAATAGCTTTGTGTGTGCTGAAGCTATGAACAAACGCATGCCAGCCACGCTTCTTCTCGAACAATAATAAAAAAAAGAAAACAGAGCAAGAAGACAGAGCAGCAGAACACAAGCAAATCCTTATTTGTTTGTTTGTTTGTTTTTTGTTTATGGAATTGGGATGTGGGTGAAAGCTTTGCCGTTTTGGTGGAGGATTTGAATGGAATATCTGGCTTCCTCGTCGACATGGAAACTCAATCCAAGCTCCAAACTTGAGATATTGTCATAATTTTGGAGCCAAAAAAGGATAGCAATGGTTCATAATGAATGTCTGGTTTGGTACTCTGTTATGATGTTGGGCATTATTCAGATTTGGGTAGATTTTCTTTACCATATGCGATATCGTTCAGTTGTGTAGATTAATGAGTTCCATTTTTGAAGTTATTTCCATAAATTTCAATTTTGTACATGAGATTGTTGACCCTCATGCTGAGTGGCGGATTCAGAAAATTGGCCAAGTGGGTGTCTTTATCATATCATAAAAAATTACCTATATAATAGAAAAGTTAACTCTAAATGAAACAAAAAGTCAACAACGCAATACTCTATACGATTACATAAAAATAGTTTCACATATACCGGTTACAACGTCAAACAAATTAGTTCAGTACATACAAGTCAAGAATTCCATTAATCAAATATTACAAATTAGAACTCAGAAGTATCTTGGGAATTGATTTTCTGAAATAAACAAGTGAACTTCAATTGGTACTTCTTCACTTTCAAGTTTGTTTAAACAAAAGACAGGAGATTTTTTTTTATAGAAAAAAATACAAGAGATTCCTCTGTTGTGGAGCTACAAAATAAATGAGCAAGTTTAAACAAAAAGCAACAATTCGTTACTATAAATAAAGACGAAAGTGCATTGCATAACAAAACTCACTCGGTCTATATGGTAAAAAATTCTCCTTACAACTGAATATAGTCACTCTTTCGAATTTGTATATACCCCTAATGGGGGAATTTTTTCCCAAACCCAAAGGGGTGCAAGCACCCCCTCCCCTCCAAGTGGCTTATTATCATAGTATTCAAATGAATTGATCAAGAGAAAATAAGTTCAAATCTATGAAATCAATGAAACACTCTCGAAAAGTCGTTCTGAACTCTCTTGCTCTCTATAACCAATTTGAATACTTAACCGTCGCACTCTTACTCTATTTCTTTTTTTCTCATTTTTCATCTCCGTGATAGTGAAAAACATTAACACGAATGCACAAATTATTAAGCACATAATGTTTGACTTAAGAAGAAAATTCAGAGCCACATTTTCCATTTTTGTTAAACAAAACGTTGATAATCTCATCCACACACTGTCTTGCCATGAAAACCACATCTCTGTTCTATAACACGTTTCTTCTGTCACTTTCTTCTCCCCCACAGCAAAAACAAAAAACAAACAAACAAAAGAGTTCAACTTTCCAGCCAGAAAAAAAGAGTAGAATCCAAGCTTTCCCATGGACCATAATTAGAAGCAAAAAGGGTCTTTGCTTAGATTTTGATTGTAAATTGTTAAATATACAATAATAATGGATAATGAAATTGATTGTAAATTGTTAAATTGTATAAGCAAGATAGTTGTGTGAGTCTACTTTGTAACTCAAAAACAATTTAAAGCAAATTGTTAAATATACAATAATAATGGATTTATATATACTCATTAGTACTCCTACTCAATCTTGATAATTAAATAAAATTATTTAGATGATAGGCTGGAACTAGACGTGTTGTAATTTGATTGATGCGTGTGTACAAGCTGATGGATAATGAAAAGTATTTGATAATAATTTAGAGGAATAATTAGACCTAAAAAGAAACTTATTATAAAACAACAACATATTACCAGATCGAGCTGGAAGGGATTATCTTCTCTTTGTATGTACTAACCATATCCACAGAAAGTGGGAAGTGGGTCCATAGTGTTATGGATCAGTACAAGGAAGTAAAAAAGAGAAGTTAAAAGATTTTGAGGGTAGTAAGTTCAAAGTGCTAATCTTCGTTGGATTGTATGTTGACAGTATATGTCTATACGATGAGTTATGAATGTATTAGATCGCTGATCACCTGCTCAATGTTAGATCTAATGCGTTGACGTTCGATGGATGTATTAGATCGATGGTCACCTGCATAACGTTAGGTCTATATGATGAGTTATGAATGTATTAGATCGCTGATCACCTGCACAACGTTAGGTTTATATGATGAGTTATGAATATATTAGATCGCTGATCACCTGCACAACGTTAGTTCTAATGCGTTAACGTTCGATGGATTACACGTTGAATGTATACTATGCGTACTAAACGTACACGATATTGATTCAAATAATCCTCACTGTTGATGTGACTAGAATCGGACTATCAGCCGCTACGACTGGTAATCGGGGGTCTCGCTGGAGAAGTACTATAAATACTTCTCATACTCCTCTGTAATCTGAAATCTCCTCGATATAGTGAAACTGGCTCTCTCTCACCCGTGAACGTAGCTAACACACATCGTGTTAGTGAACCACGTAAATCGTGTGTCTGTGTTTTTCGATTCTCGCTGCCGTATTCTTGCTTTGCCGATTCCGGCGATTTCCCGATCCGTAGCAACGCGTTTATAACACTCACCAATCACCATATTCATATGTGTGATTTTAGTCCTATGAATATTAATTCAAATAATGTTCGATGGTTGTCCTCCTAGTTCGGGTGAAAGCTTTACCTTGGGGTCGGTCGGATGACCTCACCTCCCGGCCCCACCTTTTGGTATCGTCACCGGCCGGCGGCCGCCGCCGTCGTTTAGTAGCTAGCTACTGAGCTTTTTGATCTTTGTCGTTTGGGTTGACACGGTGGCATTATCGCCAGCTTTCCGCCCTTTTTACTGACACGTGGCAGTCCTCAATAGGCTCATGGTTCCTATATATACAGGCCCCACGCTTCGCCTCTTGCATCTTCCCCGCCGCTCGCCTGAGAAAATGAACTCTCTGTTTCTTCTCTGCATCACAAATTTCGTTTCGATCGGTTTTCTGTCAGATAATTGGAAGCGGTAAAGGCCAAAGGGAGGAGGATGACCAGCGTCGGATCGGAAGGATGAGGTTCCTCCGGTCAGTTCCCGGCAGGTTCGAGTCCAAGTTCAGAATGACTTTCCTCTGTATTTTACACTCGTCCCCTGTTTCTGGGACAATGGCGGGGCAGAGGCTCCCTCGGGAATTCCTGGAGGGAAGGCAAATCTGCGGAAAGACGTCACCTTTACAAGACTGATCTAGTTTCTCTAGAACACCAATCTTGAGCAAACCTTGACACTGAGCTGTACTTCCTTTGTCCAGGACGATCTTTTAACTAATGACCCTGGCGTTGCATCAATTACAGGCTTGAAGCTGCGCATTTTGTCTGCAAATTCGGCTTGAAATCGGTCTTCAACCTGTCCGCCCCCATAAATCCTTCACAAAAGTGCACCCCACAAACATGTGCCAAACAGATTCCTCTTCCCTTGAACATAAACAGCACCTGTTAGCCAAACTCCAACCCCTTTTCTTCAAATTGTCCAGCGTTAGTATCTTGTTATGATACACAAGCCACACAATTCGAGTAAGGAAAAGCTCTGAACTTTGTGCTGCGCCTTCATCTTTGTTTCCATTCGAGTAAGGAAAAGCTCTGAACTTTGTGCGTTGTTTTGGCAGAATAAAGTAGCAGCGAGCTTCTGGAAGAAGAGGCATAAGACGCGCAGTCTCTGCATCAAATGCATCCACATCCAGAAGAGCTGTCGCTCGCCTCTGGAAATGTTTACACTTCTTTCTACATATTTAGCAATCCTCTGTTTTCTGCATCTTATAGTTTGCTGCGATCAATTTTTCGTCAGAACATTGGAATGAGAAGACCAAGCGGAGGTAGGAAGCCTGCAAAATCGTGACAAGACAATCTAGTTCTCTACAGTTTTCATATCTTCCAGCTGCTGTAACTTTGGACATCAATCAATAGAAACGCTTTCTAGTTTGCAGTTCAAATGCTCGGGAGAAAATAAATATTTCAGTCTATCAACAGGGTTTGAGATATGTACACACTATTTGTGTATCCAGTTGGATGAATCGATATCAACAATAAAGAGAAAGTAAATGAAGAAGAAGACAGGGTCTGCACTGTGGATATTCTGATTCTCACACCAGGTATTGGCCAACATATTCGTTGACCGACTCGGCAACTTGGGACACGAAATTCACTGAAGAGCCAAAGAAGAGCTCCCAGAACCAGAGATCCACGGCCAGGACCGTTGAGAATATGAGCAATGCCAGAGTTTGGTACCGGTTCAACGGCCATCCTGAAACTTCAGCCATTGTCTTCAGGAATGGAAGGGAATTGGTCTTTACATCGCGGTTCTCGATCGACCATGCGGTTATCCACTGGACTCTTGAGGGAACCAAATCGAATTCTTCCCTCAGCCGCCGTCCTAAATCCGGCATGTGGCCTCCACCGTACAGTATGGCAATCTTGTTTTGGCCGTCATCCATTGCTCTCTTCAGTGCTTCCAGAGCTACTCTGTTCCTCTCTCCGATGATCACTGACTTCTCCTCCACATCAGCCGTCACCTGGGTGAACCTTCACAAAACAGAACAAAAATGTTGCCTTTTTGGAATTTGACTGAATCAAATTCTTGAGCTAATGCGAACTTCAAACAAGTAACTTACTCGGATGTGAGTCGCTTGGCAAGAAACACCTTCATGGCAGCACCAAAATCGAGCCTCGAAAGGGCTTCGACTTCAGAGTAGTCTGAAGCAGGACTTCCCACATTGCAGAGTGTTCCAATAAGGCAAAGGCCAACGAGGGGCATAGGAAGAACCCGAGATGCCCATAGAAGCTTGGATCGCAAAGGGCCGAGATTATCTGGTATAGTGGGCTGAAGCATGGCTTTTGTCGACTTAAGGGTCATGTCTCTTGCAAATGTGAACAAGCTTTCACCCTTTTCAAGCTGCAGTAAATAACCAAAGTGAATATACACTCATGTGGCATCTGAAAATCAACCAGCATGAACAGATGAACCAAACCTGAAGTTGTTTGAAAGTCTCAAAATCGAGATCAGCATGATACCAATTCTCTGCTTCATAATCAAGACAGTCTAGTTGGAAATCAAGGGTGAGAATTCGAGCCATTTGGCGCTGAATGAACCCTAAAATGTTAAACCCTCTTGACCTGGGGCCTTTCAGCCTTCTTATAGCAGTTGGGTTTCTTCTGTTCTCTAAACTTTCTCTACTGGCCACCATTTCATACAGGACACAGTCATAAGACTCGAGCTCCTTTTGAAGGGCCGAGAAGTACCTGTAAGACAGCTTAAATTATCAGTACACAAGAAGCTCTATCCGCCAAGAACACTCTCCACTACAGGATTCATTCAATTCATAGTAAACCCAACAAGCAAATTTTGGATTTTGGGTTAAAGAGCATGATGAGCTTACTCTTTGTCAGCAATGTGAATGGTGGAAACCAAATCAACCTGTAAATTAACCCAGAAAGTCAGCTAATGGGTTCATTGGGTTGAGGGGGTGTAAATGACCAAATCGATTTAACAGTTGACGACAAGCTTTCAGCAATCACCTGAAGAAAAGGGCTGAGAATAGACCAAGGGAACCGCTTCCGGTACCGGACAACCGCCGTCTGCAACTCGCCGCTCCCTCTATCGGGCCCTCTCTTGAACCTCATGAAATCGGCAATCGAATTGCTCTCGAGGAACATCTCCGGTGACCCATCTTCGTAAGGCGAGGACGGGGAGTCAGCGGCGGAGGACGAGGCCGAGATTGCTGGAGCTCGGGAGCTGCGGATGGAACGGGAATTGAGTGGACGGGAGAAGATAAGATTGAGTTTGTTAATAGGGTTGGGTTTCAATTTCAATGGGTAGGAGGAGGTGGAAGTGGAATCGGCGGCAGTTGTGGTTGAAGCGGCGGGTGATATAATCGAGAAAGAAGCTGAGACCGCCATCAATTGGGAGCGTCTCCGTGGTTACCCGCCGGCGGGAACAGAGGAAGAGGCCTTTTGAACTGAGAACCAGAAATTTTTTCCGTTTATCCAGCGGGTTTTTCTTCGGCTCCGGGGCTATGCCAGTCGACAGGAAATGAATGGCAAATATTTTCTGAACCATTATAAATTGAATAAATAAAAAATAAAAAAAAAAAATCTCCCTCCCATTTCTCTGGTTTCATTTCTCGAAGCTTTTTACTTATTAGAATTTTTTTTTTTTTTTTGCCAGGAACACCCTCCACGGTCACCATCTTTGGTGATGCCGTAGACGGGCCAAATCCCGGAACCTCCGCCAACAGTCCGGGCAAATGCGGGGTGCCTCCAGGAACACCATGGTGGCGGTGAGGATCGAACCTGGGACCTCTCGATCACCAATTCGCCTTTCTTACCACCAGGCTATGTGACCTTTGGCACTTATTATAAATTTTCTCAAAGCTTTCGGCTCCTTTTGGAGATTTAATGAAGAGTTGATAAATTGTTTGCAGTGAATAAATTAAATAACTCAAATCTTTTATGGTGAATACAGAATACTCTAAAAAAATTCGAAAAAACGAGAGATATTTTTTTGGGTGTGAAAACGAGAGATTTATTGATAAGAAGAAAGAAAAATTGAAGTGAAATGCATTTTGGCCTGAAATCAAAGAGATTTTGTAAGAACTATGAATTTTAAAAGTGTTGGGGATATATTATTTTTTGGGAAGATATCATGATGCATTCCAAAAGCAGGCGAGACTAGATAAAAAATGGACAATATTTAGATCAGAAAAAGAGTTGATGTTACAAGTAATATTAAAGTCTCTACGGGTCTCTCTTGAAAGATTGTGGAGCAAATTCCAGTAAAGACGTCGAGTTTCAAATGTAATGTAACATCTTAGAAAAATCTCATATCAACAAAAGCACGAAAAATATCCATTAGACATAAGGAACAATCCAGCATTTAACTAACAAAACGTAATTTGAAGTAAAATAAAGAAATTCTTACCAAAACTCTGAAACTAAACTTGCTCAAAAGAAGTGCTAAGATTTGTGATTTCTGTAAAAGTTGTCATAATACAGCTAAAAACAAAACAGTAACAAATGTATAAATCACCTGCCTCAGGCTAAGAGTTTGTATTAATGAATACAAACTCTTGATTTCATTACGCAGTTACTTGGATTAGCTTTTGCCGCCATAATCCATCAAACACCAACCAATATTTCACTACAAAGACATTTCCTCTTCCAAATTGAGAACATTTTCTAATCTTAAGCAAACTTCGTTAGGGGGATACAAACTTGGTAAGAAATTACACTCTGCAACAACATTCCGCCACAATACAGATCACAACATAACATCTCTGGAAAAATAAATGGCTGATGGATCACAGCAGCTGCTTTGGTTGGGATGACCATAAGAATGAATGATAAGCCTAATATAATGAATTCTGGCAAAACAATACAAGATTTTTTTTTTGCTGTTGCTATATCTACACATGAGTCCTGCTTTATACCAATGAATCAATTGGCAGCTATCCAAGAATCGAAAGTAGAGAGACACTATAGTATTACCAATGGGCATCGATGAAGTTATTACCGAGACAAGAGCCGCAACCCTGCTTCCAGATCCTCCAAGGCGATCGTCCTTAGTTTCTCAGTGTCGATGCAGTCGAAATCGAGTCTGAGATCCAGATTCTCCCTCGCGTTCACCAGCATCGTGTCGACTAGCCCTCCGTTCATCTCCCTCCGCTGCTTCTCCGTGGTCTCACTCTCTATCAACCTCGAGGTGGCATCGATGCTGCACGAGGGATGTAACTGGAAGCCGTAGAGCATGCTGGATTCCTCTTCTTGATCAGTCATCTTGAGGTGGACGATCTCGGCTAAATCTTGGGAGGTGAAGTCGTCGAATGTGAAGAATTTGGTCACCCTTCTGCAGAAACCTTCGTTGGAAGCAATCACACGCTTCATGGGTTCGGTGTACCCTGCAAATATGACCACGATTTTGCCACTGTCCATAACCGACATTATCTCTTCCAAAGCTTCTAGGCCGTAGTCCTTATCGTCTGCTTTCTGCATTGGGATGAGACGGTATGCCTCGTCCACAAATAGAATTCCTCCCTCGGCTTCTTTGATCTGGAAAAGCAACCTTTAGAATATAAACCGTTGTTTTATATCTTCATGATCTGCAAAGAGAAGTAGTAAGCCTGGTTGAAAGGATACCTTCTTCCTGGTTTTTGGACCGGTATGGCCAACAAATTCACCAACCAAATCAGTACGTTGTACTTCGGTTACTCGGTCTGTAGGTAGAATACCAACCAGATGAAGCAATCTTCCAAGAATTCGAGCCACCATTGTCTTACCTGTAGCATATCAGGAAACTCTGACATTAATATCTGTAAATGAAGGTTATGTGTCTTAATCACATGCTTCAGTTGCATGATACAGCAAATATCAATTTCTCACACAACCAAACCGACATCTAAGTGAAAACTAAAATCATAGGAAACCAAGAAAAAAGTTCAGAAGTTCGAAAAACATAGAACTCAATGCACACTATAAAGATCAGGCAACAATTTACCTGTTCCAGGATTTCCAAGGAAAGCCATGTGCGGAGGCCTTCGAACACCCAATTTCAGACCGAGGGCCCTGCGCCTCTCATCCAAAAGCATTCCCTTGGCCCATTTTCTTAGCTGAACCTTGAGTTCATGCAGCCCTATTATGCTTGACAATGCTTTCTCAAGTTCTTCCATTTTAGCTTTTGACTCGCTACATGCTTCCAGTGCTCGCCTCCTTCTCTGCTCCTCAAGATGCCGTTTTAATAAGGCACGCAACTTTTCACTGCCTGGACCTTGCGAGATATGGTTCACAGGAGTCATGCCCTCCTGCAATTAACATAAAGACAAGCAATCAAAACCATGTAAACCCAAAATTGAAGTTAGGAACAGAATAGATAGCAGCGATATAGATTACATCGTCCTTTGCACTACAATCAGCATTATGCTCCAGCAATGTCTTGACGGTCGAACAATCATCTGATCTTATAGAGTCCCACACAGCTAGGTGCAGTGGAGTCATACCATTCTGATAAGACACCCAAACGGAAAAAGAAGAAGAAGAAGAAGAAAAACAAGTTAGTTCCTTTCCGCATTGGCCAGCTAGCATGAATTCCCAACTAAAACAGAGAGTTGAGAAGATATTTACATTAGCTTTAGCCTCAATGAAAGCGCCATGAGAAAGGAGTAACTGTGCAGCTTCATTGCACCCGTTCTTCGCTGCCATGTGCAATGGAGTTTCTCCATACTGGCAAAGTTGAGATTAGAGAGCAAAAGTCAACAACAAGCAGGATAATCAGCATGGAGAAATGACTCTATAACCTCCAGGGAAGATAATACTAATAGGTAAAATTGAGCTCACCATGTTCTTGGCTTCCAATTCAACTTTCTCGGCACCCTTCAAACTAAGCAGAAATTTGACGATCTCCCATTTGTTATTACCAGCAGAAACATGAAGAGGGGTCTGTGACATCTGCGGTAAACGAAAAGAAATCAAATTACATGAGAAGTCTTTCATGGAAAGAAACAGAAACCCTGTTCTAAACTCTCTGGTTTAGCATTCCAAGATGCGTTACAGGTCTAGCCAAAGAAGATCTAAAGCCTTAGAGGTTTATTCATCAAGGTCAATGAATCCATCACCAACCAAATCCCTCCTACCTCCACTATCAAAATCTTAGCAACAGCGCAAAAGCATCTCTAGTTTCATACAATCTCCATAAGAGCTTTCGTGAGCTAAAACAACGAATTTAACCCCATAAAGAGAACATTTGTTCAAATGCCCAATACGAAAATGACCAAAATTCAAAGCTAATCTTGAAAAGAACGCTGCTCTATCGAAGTATGAATCCTCCCCAGAAACCCCAATTGGGAAGAAAGGAAGAAAGTTGGATTCTCTAAGCAGGGAAATGGAAGAAAGAAAAAGGGGGAAATGGAATAGTTGAGAATGATCTCACAACTGGGTTCCTCTCGTTGAGGAAAGAAGGGTTGTCACGGAGCAGCTTCTGAACGGCGGGAAGATCGCCGGACTGGGCACAGGCATGAATGGTGGCGGGCTTGGAAGATCTCGACCGTTGATCCTGGACAGGCTTCTGCATTTTGTTTCCCAACGGTGGCCGCTGCGGGCAGCGGTGATATATGTTAAGGTTTTGGCCGGTGGCGGCTTCTTCTCTCCCGCCGGTGAGAGAGAAGGAAGAAAAAGGAAGAAGGCTGGAACGCGGATTTTGATGTGGAAGAAAAAAAAGGAAGGAACTAAAGAAGAGGCGAAGAAAGAGAAAGAAAATCTGAAAATGGCTGCTCTGATTTTTAATTTCTACCGCGAGTCCTTTTGCCCTTTTGGCGGCCACCATTTTATTTTGATCTTAGGACTTTAGGTTAACCCTTTCTAATTCAGTTTTTTTTTTTTTTTTTTGTGGATATCTAGTTAATTTTGTAATTGAACTTTTTTAGGTGAGTTATTTTTACTATTGTGGTGAAATTGGCTTGGCTAAATCTCCATTAATCGGGTTAACAATTTTATACAAGTAATCGAAATTCAAGACGAAGGTGGATATTCAAAAACACATTCATACGAAATTTAGAGGATACGAATTTTAAGATTTTAAAAGATAAGTACAAGACAGAGGCGATTCACTTCAAATTCACCCTATTGTTCTCATGTATATCTTTTGCATTGGACTATCTTGGACTCAAAATATCATTATTTAATTAACACAAAATCACTCTAAATATTATACTCAATAGGATATGATAATCATTAAGAGGGAAAAAAAATGAAAGTGCATCTAGTCTAAAGCTACCTGCTTAATTACTCTAATGGTGTGTAACAGCTCATTGGTCATTTGCCAAAACTAATAATAATCTTCTCCCTTCAATAATTCCTCTCCAAACAAACAAACTAGTCGCATGTTACAAATTATTGGATATCTATTTGAACTATGAAGAAAAGTAAAACCCTGCATTAGTTATATATTATGATACTATTTATGATCATATTTAACGATTAGAGTGAAATTATCGTTAGTTGTAATATCTCTAGAATTCTTGGTGTATATTATGGATTTATCATTAGTTCTAGAATTGTTACGTAAGATTATCATATTTTACGTAATTATTACGTAATGCCTATTGTATTATACGTAATGCGACCTGTGAAACTTGTTATAGCAGATAAAAAAATTCAATTTACCTTACTTCAAATTACCTTAGGAAGAGAAATATGAAATGTTTGCAAGCAGAAAAAAGAAACCACTCAACGAGGGAGGAAACAAAGAGGCTGGATTGGGGAAGTAGTACAAAAAAAGAAACAAAAATTGACATAGTAGAGACGAAACTAGAGATGGTAAAGAAGGCCACAACACTTCATCCACTCAGTCTTAAATCGCCTCAAACGGTTAATCTGCAACACGACCCAATGGCAGCAACATCATTGCTTTGAGATTCTACAGCCAAATTTCATTCGTCGGCCTGCCTACCTTATTGGCACTAACCAACCAACTAGAGAGCTTACTACCAATCCCGAAACACACCACATGCGGCGTGCAGCACACTCCCTTCTTTCCTTTTTTTCAAAAAGTTGAAAGCAAAAATATTCGCACTTATTTTTCTTTTCATAAATAAAAAGACCAAAATTTCCTACTACTTTCTCTTCCCATAAATCAAAAGCATCAAAATTCCTCTTCTTTCTTTCCCAAAAAATTGAAGCACCAATTTTCCACTTTTTTCTCATCCTGAAAATTTCAGTTGAAAACACCAAAATTTATGAATTCTTTTAGAATAATCAAATTCTAAAACAAATTACTTTACTTTGTTTACATTTAATTGATAATTTTGTTGAATATTTAAACTCACCAGGATTTTAATGAATATGTTATATTAACGTTATACATTGTCTCAAAATTTTAATTCTTCATTATCAATATTGGTATAATGTTGATTTTATATTTCATATTTATTTTTAGTTTTTCTAAGAACTTTATATTTAAGTAAACTTCATGTTTTAATTTGTGTGATTTGTAACAAATACACAATTTCAAGTGCATTTCATATTTTGAACTTTCCTTTAGAAGATGTAAAATAATTTTATGTAGGGTTTAGAGAAAATAAATCATTTTGAAAGACTACTATATAGTAATTTTTCAGGTCAATCGGGTGGGTCACGGGTTAGTCGGGTTCAATTAAATTGGATTAGTATTACAGGTTTAATAGGGTTGCGGGTCAATCAAGTTTAGGTTACGGCCAGCCATGTTGCGGATTAATCAGTTTGAGGGTCAATCGAGTTACGGGCCAGGCGGGTTGCGTGTCATTGACTTTTAGTCAATTCTAGTTGAGGTTGGGTTGACCGAGCGGATTACTCGGATTAGATTTTGTTTTGACACCTCTATTGGCAACGGTATTCTTACTCTTAGTTGTTTCAATGCATAAAATCAACTCTGAAGTATTGGTTGCCACTATGGGTGCAACAACTCAGTAGCACGAGGTGAGCTGAATCTCTCAACTGAGTGATAGTTCCATTGAAAACGTTCAAAATCTAATGCTGATCAAAATTGTTTATCTAGTTGAAGGGAATGCTTTTGGATGAGAGGCGCAGGGCCCTCGGTCTGAAATTGGTTGTTCGAAGGCCTCCGCACATGACCCCGTATGGAAATCCTGGAACAAATAAGTTGTTGCCTGATCTTTATAGTGGCATTGAGTTCTATGTTTTTCAAACTTTTAAACTTTCATGGTTGAAAATTTTCTCTTGGTTTCCTATGATTTAAGTTTTCACTTAAATGTCTGTATGGTTGTGTGAGATATTGATATTTGTTGTTTCATGCAACTGAAGCATGTGATTAAGACACATTACATTCATTTACAGATATTAATGTCAAAATTTCCTGATATGCTACAGGTAAGACCATGGTGGCTCGAATTCTTGGAAGGTTGTTCCATCTGGTTGGTATCCTACCTACAGACCGAGTAACCGAAGTACAACGTACGTATACTGCTTGAGCCCCCCCCCCCCACCTCGAAACCCACTCAGGAAGGTCATTACGCACAATATTTCCCTATTAAGATCATTGTTGGTACACTCTCTATTTTTTCTCTTGGTCAACATCTCAACCCTACTCCATTGGTGAACCACCCTATGGCGATTTTGGGCGTTGCTATTTCGACGATATAGAGTGGTGTGGTGGGAAGTGCAAGCCTGAGGCCCAAAACACTAAGCATGCAGCCCATTATCAACATAGACACCGATCCAGCAATGGCCATTAGGAAGCATCCCAATAAGACCAACATCCTAGAGATTATGAGCAGCGGCTGGCGACCGATCAGATCAGACAATGCACCGAAAGGAAGCATAGTGAGGGCGGAGAGGAACTGAATTATCCCCACAAAGCATGTTACATACAGGTCCTTCATCTTCAAGGTGGTGAATGAGTTGTACATGGTACCTGATTTTACGGCGACTACTCTTTCAGTCTGAAAAGCAAGCCTTGCGATCCAATAATCGAACGCTCAATAATAAGGAATGAATTCGAGAGTCCACAAATTCGTAACAGTATGTGACTGTTTCTCTGGTGGAGTCATACGACCAGACGTCGTGCGTGACCCACCCCCTTGCCAATTCATGCTTCGTTATTGACTGCCCCGTCATTGGATCGCAAGGCTTGAGCTGAAAAAGCAGTAGTTGTAAAACCAAGTTACCACGTACAACTCATTCACCGCCTTGATCTTCCTGGGATGAACGGTTGGGATTGGAGTTGTGAGAAGCCCCATCGAACCACTATCAAAGCTTACCTTAGATGTAGGGTGGTTCACTAGCGGAGCAATGCTGTAATTGTGAGTTGTGACCGAGAGAAGAGATAGGGAGTGTATCAAGAGGAATGATACATGTTCCTAATCCATAACCAATCATTAACATAATGAAACAAGATCGAAGTGTTGCGGAGGTTGACACTGATGTTGGGGTCACCGAGGGAACCTGGTACATATCTTAAAAAAAAATTCTTTAACTAACGTTGTTTTAGCTATAGATTAGATAAGTTTTCCCTTTTGGTACAACTTACCTCAAAAAGTTTTTTTTTTCTTTTCTCACGTATAGTTTTCTCCATCTTAATCCACGTTTTCTAGCTGTTGATTAGATAAATTTCCCTTTTTGCTAGGAATTACCTTAAAAGGATTTTTCTTCTTCTCTTACGTATGTTTTTTCCTTATTCCACATCATTTATAGTTGTCGATTAAACAAGTTTCCATTTCGCTAAACTTACCTTAAAGGGTTTATTCCTTCTCTCGCGTATGATCCCCCCTAATCCACGTTTTTCCAGTTGTTGATTAGGCAAGTTCCCATTATCTCAAATGCTAAATAACGAACAAAATCAATCTCAATACGAAATGTTTCGATATGGTATATAGTATAGACTAAATACTAAACTAAATAACGTCATATTAGTATGTAAATTGCGCAAGTTTGTTTAAGAGGTCTGGTGGAGTGTGGGAGGGTGCACTATAAAACTTGCTATGACTTACCATAAATATATGTCTTTCCTTAACCCATGGTTTCCTAGCTGTCTATTAGGCAAGGTCCCCCTTTCGATAGAACTTACCTTAAAGGGATTTTTTTATTCTCTCATTTATGTTTTTTTTTTCCTGCGCTCATGTTTTTCTAGCTCTCGATTGGACACATTTCATTTTTTGTAGGACTTACATAAAACAGTTTTCTTCTTCTATCACATATGGTTTTTCCCTCTAAACCCACGTTTTTCAGTTGTCGATTAAGTAAGTTTACCCTTTTCACTAGTACTCATGTTGAAGGGTTTTTTTTCTCTCACCCCTATTTTTGTTATAGATTAGGCGAGTTTTCCTTTTTCTCAATTCATAAGGAGTTATATTAGTGGACATGGGAGGGTGCTATACGACTTGTTAACAATTACCTTAAAAATAATTTTTCCCTCTAACTCATGTTTTTCTACGTGTTGATACGAAAGGTGCACCATAAGACTTGCTAGCATTAACCTCTCCCGAAAGTGGTCATCAAAAGCTTCTTTGATTTCATCGGACTCATAAATCATCCTCCCATTCACCTTATTGGAATTGATTTTTCTCCTTCTATTGTTCGCCGCGACAACCATGTGAAAATAGCCACTATTTTTGTCACCCGCAGTAAGCCATAACTCCCTAGATTTTTTAGGGCATAAGAATTCTTCCTGAAATAGAACTCTCTCCAATTCTCATTTAAGCAGGCTTCTCTCAACACCGCAAGAAGCATGTAAAGCGCCTTGTTCTTCTAACATATCAATAGCCTTAATTTTTTCCACCAAACTTGCAATCTTAACCTCCACTCTCCCAAATTCCTCCTTATTCGTAGTCTGTATCAGTGATTTTGTGACCCGAAGATGTTGCCCAAACCTGAACAACCCTCCAATACCAACAATGAAACGCTCCACCATCCCACAAGACTAGATTCGAAGGCCTCCTTTGTCAACCACATGTTTTCGAACTTCCATGGCCTTCGAATACGATTAGAGCATCCCCATTTTAACAAGATCGGATTAAGATATGATTCAACGCGATCCTAGGCAATAATGGAATCCGGCGATAACTCTTCCTCAAACCTTGCATTCACGAGGGCTCTACCAATTATGGACATCGAGCTAGATCCATTACTTCAGGTTAACATTGAACCGAACAAAGGTAACTCCAATAGCTCGTAAGAGTTGATAAAGCTATTGAATTCAAACATATTTATGTTATTCATAAAAAAAGTTATTGTCCTAAATGTTTGTCCAAAACATATTTATGTTGTATGCAAGTATATTTGTGAGCGAATTGTGTTCTTTTTATTTTTTGTCATATTAGGCATACTTAATATAGATTATGATTCACGTTGTTTTTTTATTGTGTCTACACAATTTTAGAAGAAAAAGTATTTTGTATGTGGTAGCTTATAATGAATAACATCTTTAGCTATTTTCAGTAAATATTTATGAAAAAATATTATATATATATGTTAGAAACAAATTGCACTTTATTGAGTTTCATACAAGTTCTATGTATTTTGATGTCTTTTGCTTCGGTTTAAGTATTTTTTTATGTTTTTCCCTTTGATTTATTTGCTTGAAATTGTAATTAGTTGTATAATTTATTAGTGTTAGGTTGAATTTTTACCCAACTCATTCATAAACAGTAAGGTTTTAATTTTTGGTGAGTTTGAACTTTAGTATTTTTCGAAACGAAATTGTACGAATCAGATGATTAAAAAGGCTAAATTACACGTTTGGTCACTCAAATTACGTAAATCTTTCATGTTTACCACTCGAATTACTTTTCTTTCTTATTCGCCACTAACTTTATGAATCCTTTCACCGGTACCACCGGCTGTTAGTCTCCGTCAAAGTCCGTGAACTCCATCAGTTATTTGATGACATGACAAACGAGAATACTGACTGGACCATTAATTTATGACATGTACATTTACAAAAATGAAAACTAATAATAATAAAAAATTAACAAGAAGGGAAAGATTTGCTCCGGGCAACACTGTCTGTTCGACTTGCTCTCACCTCCACTACTCAGGCGGCGGAGGAGGAGGAGAAGAACTGCAGAAAGATGGGGAAACTGGCGGCGCTGAAAGCAGAACCAACACTGAAGCTATCGCCTGCAACAACAACATCGCATCTCTAATCCCTAATTCCCACATTTGGAGAACGCGGATTCGGAAGCGAAGGAATCCAGATCCAGATTTCACATTCGTCATAGCAATCAGTCTCAAGGTCGCGGCTGAAGCCGAAATTTCAGCAGAACTATTTGTCGAACGCCATCGTGGGGCTTGAAATCATCCTGAAGGAGGGGGGACTTATTGCTGTCGCTAGATCATGTGGTGGTGGAGGTTAACAGAGTGGTGGCCGACCAGACGAACGGGAAGTTGAAGGAAGACTTGTGGTCTTGGATTGAGAGTACCCAGATTCCAACGACGGCCGGGTTCTCCTTGGCGGGGGCATCGGGGCTAAGTAGTTCGCCTGGGTTTGATGTTTACGGGAGTGATTTCAGGTAGTGGAGGCGGTGATGAGTGGAGGCAGGAGCAAATTGGAAGGGAAGGTTACGGTGTTGCCCGGAGCAAATCTTTCCTTCTTGGTAATGTTTTTTATTAATTTTTATATTTTTTATCGACATGTCATTAAGTTAATTGTCCAGTCAGAAGTTCCGTTTGCCATGTCATAAAAAAACTGACGGAGTTAACTGACTTTGACGGAGATTAACGGCCGGTGACTGCTGGTGAAACGATTCGTAAAGTTAGTGGTGAATAAGAAAGAAAAGTAATTCGGGTGGTAAATGTGAAAATTTTATGTAATTTGAGTGACCAAACATGTAATTTAGCCTGATTAAAAATATTAAATTGGAACCCGATCCATGTACATCTCTAATTATTTACACCATAAAACACATGATAATGCTCAAATGAATGGATATGCGATCTATATGTCTATACTCTATACATAACATTTGACATCTAACTGCATTCTGGTATTGCTGATCGCCATGATCAAGATTCAAGGTAACAATAAGGTAGTTGTTAGTCATTTTCATATAATCCACTTGTTCTTGCCTGATAAGTCTTGTTACCACTACAACGAGAATTCCCCATGTGATGATACTTTGAAGACGTTAACCTAATCACACACTGACAATCTGTCTCCATAGTTGCAGCCAAGTAATTTCAATCTTCAGAAGAAAGAAGTCCCCAACAAGATTCCAGAAATGATAGGCTTCTTTGACACCTCTACTGCTCCACATCACTCCAAAACCCAAAACCCTAAACACACTCAACCACCTAATCAAGCGGTTAATCACATCAAAGCGTGCAAGGCCCTTCTTCTGTTCTTCATCCATTTGGTCTCTTTAGCCCATTTGGCGTCCAGCCAAGCTGCCCAGAACTGGGGAAAATGACACGATCATACAGACCCACGACGCCACGTGTACACTAGATGAGGTTGCTTTAACGTGTGGCCATCACAATCTTTTTTTTCCTCTCCTTTTTCCCCACCACCTCACTCTCCAGAATCCAGAATTCTTGATATTTTTGAACTTTGTCCAGTTGTAATCTTCTTTCTTCCTCAGATATTTGACTTGCTTTGGAAAGAGGATAAGTAGCCAACCAACCATTGCCTAATTAACACTCACCGGAGAAGATTTTCCTGCCTTTTGCCGTACTATATGCTATCTGGGGTTGGATTGGGGTTTCTCTAATGGCTGGCGTTGCAATTGCTAAGCTCCATGTCTACCCTGTCGATCACTTGGCAGCTTGCTGCGGTGAACGGCAGAAGGGAAGTTCTGGGTTCCTTAGACCAGCAGCAGCAGGGCTTTTTCGTGTCCAGAAGGGAGGTTGTGGCGGAGGACAGCCGTTGTCGCAACACTGCAGGTCTTTCAGGTCTGAAGATGGTGGCGGTGGAAGGGAATTCGATGATGGGGAAAAGGAAGAAGGGAAAGATGAGATTTTGAAGGGGGGAAAGGCAGAGAAGTTGAAGAAGGGAGATGGGTTGTGGGTTCCTGGGGTTGGTAGGTTGAAATTGCCTTCAAAGGATGAGTATAGTAGAGGAATTGCTCAAGTGGAGGAAGTCTTCTCTTCGGTGAGTTCCTGAATAGTGACTAAATTGTGGATTTAGTTATGGTTAACATGTAAATCTAACTGTACATCTGATGAACCAGGCTGCAATCCACGTTGGGAGATACATTGTGACCATGATGAGCACTGGAGTGGTACTTGCTACTGGTTTTCAGTTGTCAGGTTAGTTTGAAGTTTCTATTATGTTCTTTTCCAGTTTGGATGAAATCATGTCTTATCTGAAATGTTCAACTGCGAACAAAATTTGCGTGTGAAGGTGGAGACGGTCAAATGAATGATCTTATCTGGTATAGCTGGCTCGGAGGAATCATAATTGGGACAATGACAGGTGCGAACATGGTGTTAGATGAACATTGTCGAGCAGGCCCTCGTAATGTTGTCATAACTGGAAGGTATATATAGTTATATACCCTTTGGCAATGCTGCTCAAGATGCTATTGAGCCTTATCTTTTCCTGAGATGAGCCATGTTTGTTAACTTGCCCAATTCATTTCCTGATGCATGTTATAACCAATAGCACAAGGGGATTGGGGAAGGCACTTGCTAGGGAATTTCTTCTATCTGGCGATCGTGTGGTTGTTGCATCACGAAGGTTTGTCCATTGATATCCTGTCACTCTGGAGAAACCTATCTTCTTGGATATGTGATTAGTACTCACGACCTTGTTTTGTGCTTGGAAAAACTCAGCCAGGAATCCGTCGATATGACAGTGAAGGAGCTGGAGGAGAACCTCAAGGAAGGAATGGTCTCAGCAGGAGGTTCATCAAAGCGGAATCTTTCCCATGCAAGAGTAATTGGCATAGCCTGTGATGTCTGTCAACCATCTGATGTGAAGAAACTAGCTAATTTTGCAGTCAGTGAGTTTGGTTCCATTAACATATGGGTGAGTACTGATTCTCCCAAGCTGATGTTACTCATCACTTCCGTATGTATATGTTCATTTGGTTCTTCTATTTTACATATGGGTGACTAGTTTTGGCAACTTCCAATGATACAAAAAACAGATAAACAATGCCGGGACGAATAAAGGTTTCAGACCCTTGCTGCAGTTCAGCGATGAAGACGTAACTCAGGTAAGTGAAACTGCATTCAAAAAGCTTCAGAGTTGCATTACATAGATGGGGTTCATCTGCAATGTGTTATTGTGTGACTGACATTATCTGATTCTGGTAGATTGTCTCGACGAATTTGGTGGGGTCAATTCTGTGCACCCGAGAAGCCATGCGAGTGATGGAAAACCAACCTAAGGGAGGCCACATTTTCAACATGGACGGTGCAGGTTCTGGGGGCTCAAGCACTCCTCTTACTGCTGTGTAAGACATGCTGACTTTGTGTTTTCGATATTAACAGTGTACATAGAAGTTGAATGTTGTAAGTGATGCTCGGATCCCATTTCTTTCCCTTCCGAACTTGTAGTTATGGAGCTACGAAGTGTGGTCTGAGACAGCTTCAAACATCACTTCTAAAGGAGAGTAAGAAGTCTAAAGTGGGAGTTCATACAGCTTCCCCGGGCATGGTCCTCACGGAATTGCTCTTGAGGTACACTATGGAGATTCTATGTTAACACATCCCTGATCTCTGGAGGCTCTTGCTTTCTTCTTTCGTTAACTATTCACTTACTGTCTCTTCTACAGTGGATCAACACTGAAAAACAAGCAAATGTTCAACATAATCTGCGAGCTCCCAGAGACCGTTGCTAGGACTTTGGTCCCACGGATGAGGGTCGTGAAAGGCTCGGGGAAGGCCATCAACTACTTGACTCCTCCCAGAATCTTACTTGCCCTAGTCACTGCTTGGCTGAGGCGTGGTCGGTGGTTCGATGACCAGGTAATTAGTTGTCACATTTCCATTATCCACTAAAGAAACTCCTTTACATCAGTAAATCAGCACAAAGTATAAACTCAATTCAATATTCCCTTTGTGTATCATTCAGGGAAGAGCATTGTACGCAGCAGAGGCAGACCGATTACGAAACTGGGCAGAGAATCGTGCTCGGTTTTCGTTCACCGATGCCATGGAGATGTACACCGAGAACACATGGGTATCGGTTTTCTCGCTCTCTGTTGTCTGCGCGTTCATCATACTGTCTAGCACCAGCAGCATTACTCCTGGCACCTAAGTCGAAGAAGACTGCCCCGATTTTAAGTAAAGTCAAAACAAGATCCAAGCAAAGCACCAAAGTTACAGAAGATTTTAGGCAATCCCTTTTTCTTTTAGTTTTTAGCCATTCATGGAAAGGGTTTCTGCTAATACGGGCTGGATGTCAGCCCGGGGCTGGTGATTGTCACCCATCTTATTGTTGTATTTGTATACAAAGTCCTGTAAATGTGAATTGCTCGTTTTGAACGTGTAATGAAATTGTAAGAAAGTTGCAGTCTTTTTGGACTTTTACGTTTCTCTTCAGCTGTTCATGGTCGACAACCGTAGCAACACATGTCCGGCGGGAAGATTTTTATCTTGAGGACTAATCCATCGTCATTGTCTTGCCTATATAGTAAGACTATTAACCACAACGCCACTCACGTTTGGTTTCAACTTTCAACTTTCAAGTCAGCTGTTGCATATTGGGATGACAATTGACAATCACCATTCTCCAGCCACGATGCCTTGAGCCCATTTATAAGTTGTTGGATTTGGTCATTTGGGCCTGCTGACGATATCTGCTGCTGATTCGCTATCAAAACTCAGTAAGTGTTTATCTTCCCAAAGCATCTACGGCGACCCATCAGAGAGAAGTCGTCTGCTTCCCTACACCGCTCGACCTCTGTCTTCCGCTGCTGGGTTTTCTCTTTGTAACTTGCCGGGGGCTCCAGTCCGGCGATCAGCGGATTCTTCACCGATGTGAAGAGAATAGGGAAAAGGTGGGAACTTTGACTCTATTTCCAGTCCATTTGCCCTTCTATTTGCCGATGGAATTTGTAGACTCGAATGTTAGCAAATTGGATTGGGAACTTCGGTGGTGGAAATTCCACCAATCCCTTGTTACGATCGTCCTTTTCTAGGTCGTTTCTTTTATCCGAATGATTCTCAGTTCTGTTCATTTGGAATTCAATTAACAGTTATACCCATCAGTTCTCTCTCTCTCCCCTTGCTCATTTGCTCTGGGAGTTGCCGGGTTTTTTTCTTTCTAATCGCCGGGAGCTTCAACCGGCGATTAGCTCTTGTCTTTGCCGAGGTAAACAAAGCAAAAGTTGCAGACTTTGACTCAGTTTCCACTCCATTTTACCATGAATTACACAACAGTCGCTCTAGATCGACAAATTTGGTTAGAAAGTCTGCGGTGGTCGTTTTTTGTATGTAATCTCAGTTCTGTTTATTGGCAATTTTCGGTTTTGGCCCGAATCAGAGTTTTGTGATTTCAGATTCAACTGGCCCAGTTTGTTATCTCCCTCTTTTTTTTATTTGCTTGAGGTTTCGCACCAGTGACATATCTGCTTTATCTGAAAGCTTTAAAATTTCTGGGAATATCCTTCATTCTAACAATCTTAACATCACTCGATACTCCATCAGGGAATTGGAGCATCACAAAAGTTTTCACAGGTTCTACTAGCTTTCATCATCCTCGAATCGATGGCTGCTGCAGAATTGAAGACCGAGAATGTCGATGTCAAACCAGTGGGGAATGCAGCAGCAGCAGCATCATCAGTTAACGTAAGGGTGTTGTTCTTTGCCAGAGCTCGAGACCTAACTGGCGCAGCAGATACTTTGTTGGAGGTGACATCGGGCAGTACAGCAGGCGACTGCTTGATCGAACTCATTGCTAGATTTCCAGGGTTGGAGGAGATTAGAGAATGTATGGTGCTCGCCCTGAATGAGGAGTACACATCGAATTCTGCAGTCGTCAAAGAGAACGACGAGCTGGCTATCATACCTCCCATCAGTGGTGGTTAGCTACATTCACCTTCCAAAATTGTATAAGCACGCTCGCGATTGTGCTCGTTGTATGATCAATTTGCTTCCTGTATGTGGTGCAAAAGATGTTCAAACTTTTACATGACAATGATACGACTTGGCAAAGCTTGAGAATGTAACAGCTTAGGCTGCTATTGCAAATGTGCACTCTATTGCAAATGATACGACTTACCTTCTTATCGTTGTCGATTGAAATGTGCACTCTATTTATCGTCAAAAATACATTTAGATAAATAAATCTATGAGATACTGAAGAGAACCATAATACACTAACAGAGAGTATGGAGTATCAAATTGTCGACAAGAGATCAAGAATTAACTCCTTAATGTCGAGTAACTCACTAGGATATAGCTGGAGTTTGAAGACTATCATTGAGTAAGTATTAGCATTGAAAATTTAATGATAACTAGTCAGTTTCTTTTTTATGGCGCAGGCCGATAATCTAGGATGCAGCAATCTAGGAGCGAGGTGATGAAGCGAAGTCGGCGACGCGATAAGATTGAAGGAGAGGCAGGTCGGAGATGGAGAAAATTAGGGTTGACGGCGCGAGAAGAGAGATGAGAAGGGTTTGATGGTTCGAGGTTGGCTTGCGGACGACTGACGCAGAGAAAGGTGAGAGCCGAGAGGGGAGAGGGTTGTATGCTAAAGAGTTAGGCTTTTGGTCGGGCTTAGTGATTTAGGGTTTCGTTTGGCCTTAGGGAGTTAGGGGGTTTCATTTGGGCTTAGACAGTTAGAAGGAATAAAAATGAGTTTTGGGCTTATGTAATATATTTCAGTTTTTCGGTCGGGAATTTAAAATCTCGGTTCGATTGAAAGAACCTTGATTTTCGAACTATCTATATTTCACTTTCAAGTTCTGAACTGAGTAGCAGTATTTCGATTTTTTGCGGTTTAGTTCGATTTCGGTTTCGATTTACTGAAATATATGCCCATCCCTAATGAAACCGATCCTATTGAGAAAGAGCAGCAACAAAAAAAAAAAGGAGTAATAGCGAAACTTGCGGGAATGCTCCATGGCTGACGTGGAGGCCCGCTTTTTCCAAACGCTTTTAATATTTTGTAAGAAAGACTAATTAACCGTTACAATGATTCTCTTGATAGCCCATCCAAGCGCCATGGCCCATGGCCCATAACCCACCATCACGTGGTTCCAAAGCCCATATCCGAGAGCCCGCGCCAACTTCCTTCACATATATAAACAGAAACCCTAATCTCAACTTCCATCGTGACCACCACCAGCACTTTCCTCTTCACTCCCTCTACCGGCGGCCGAAGATCCAAAGCTAGGGTAAGCTCTCTTCTCCTCCCTCGTCGGCGGCGAAAATGGGTCGTGTTCGCACCAAGACCGTGAAGAAGTCCTCCCGCCAGGTGATCGAGCGCTACTACTCGAAGATGACGCTCGACTTCCACACCAACAAGAAGATCCTGGAGGAAGTCGCCATCATCCCGTCGAAGCGCCTCCGCAACAAGATCGCCGGCTTCTCCACCCACCTGATGAAGCGGATCCAGAAGGGTCCCGTCCGTGGGATCTCCCTCAAGCTCCAGGAGGAAGAGCGCGAGCGCCGCATGGACTTCGTCCCCGAGGAGTCCGCCATTAAGGTCAACAGCATTGAGGTCGACAAGGAGACGCTCGAGATGATCAGCGCCCTCGGCATGGCCGATGTCGGTGGGATTTCGGTCGTCGACCCTGTTGCTGCCTCCGCTCCGCAGTTTGGGTTTGGCAGAGGCAGGCCGAGGTATTAAGCGACTAAAGGAAAGGGTTCAGGGAGGGAAAAGTCAGTCATGGCTTTCTGCTTCTTCTATCTGCAGTTTCTTATTTGTATTTTTGTTCTTTGTTATATCAGAATCTGGAGAATTTCTGTTTAGTTTATCTTACTGCCAGAGAAGTTTTGTTAGACCATGCTACTCTTGTTGAATTATTGAGATGAATGGATGGTATTTTCTGAAATGGGGTTCTTCCTGGATATCGCATTGGTGCTCTGTTTAGCTGATATGCAAGTTTGTCTATTGTTGCTCTCTATGTTGTCTATTGTGGTTGGTGATTATTGATTACTAAATGCTAGAAGTTTCAGTAATGATGGAACTAAATCGATGCTGGTTTCTGAAATGGGGTTCTTCCTAGCTATTTGGATCTGTGCTTTTAGCTGCTGTGCTAGTGCAATTTGATTTGCAGTTGTTGGATGGATTGGTAGTGGCGAATTAGGCTTTATCATGTGCAGCAGCAGTATGGAATATGCTAAGATTGGAGCTGTTGGGGGTTAATAGTCTCGTTTCAGTGTGTTCCGTTAGTTTCGATTTCAACATTTGCTATTCTTGGAGTCTTGGTAGAGCTGTAGGGATGCTGCTTTCTGAGTTGAGTGTTGCTTTGCTAACTGTGGATGTGAAGTTATTTGGATGAAGGTTTGTGCATTGTCGCAGCATTTTAGTGCAGCACTTGCTTGAAAGGAGGTTTTGTTTGTCATTCACTGGGGTCTGGGGTTGAGCGAGTTTGAGCTTTAGGCTTAGTGTTGAATCCTTGATTCTATCAAAGATGGGGTAGGGGATGCTTATCACTTGAGATTTAGGATTGAATGGAGCTTAGCATTTTCGCAAATGATTGTGATTTCATAAGCTGAGATGCATCTGATTGGACGTTCGCAATTTGGTGTTAGGGAATGAAAGTCGAAATGAAATGCAGCAGCCTAGGGATCCATCCTTTACTGCACATTTATCAGAGTAGGGCTTAATTATACTGCAGAAAGAAATGTATCGTGTATTCGTGTTAGACTTGCAGGTTTCTTGCATCTTTCAGTGTCGGTATATCTGTAGGGATATACCTGATACAATATCAGTACATGGAGAAATTTGGTCTGGTCAGTTTTCTATGATTAGAATTGGGTTGGTGCATCTCGTTTTGTTCAAGGATTCATGAAAACAGAACTGCTGGTCTCACTGTTCCATTTTCCAGCTATTGAACGCAAGAGATCCAAGCTAGTCAAACTATGGACTTAGCTTGACAGGATGTGACTTATGAGTGTGATCTTCAAAGAATATGAACATACTAATGTATGGATTTCTTGACACTGGTGCATCATACCATACAGTTTGCGTAATCACATGACAAAACTATTGCATACCTTCATAACTTGACCAAAATCATGGACAGTCAGCGCAGCCCATTCTTGTGCTGTATTAGCTTGGTTTAATGGCGTTGGGAGTTGATGCCTGATGGAGCTATTGGGGCAATTGAGATTAGTAGTTGATTAGTAGGGGTTGCTATGGGTAGGGATGAGTATTGAGATATCCGTTTCGTCCCACTCGTTTGTTTGTCAACTCTAGTTATGCGTACTTACTTCATTGATCAATGGTGGATAGAGGTGGCAATTGGATCGGATTCGTAGATTCGTGGATTGGTGGATGGATTGGATCCAATGGATTGGTAGATTCATGGATTGGATCAAATGGATTGGTGGATTGATCCATGAATCCAAATGACATCAAAGGCTTGGACCAAAATGTAAATTTTGAAAAGTTTAGGTACTAAAATGTCATAATGAAAAATTTTAGGTACCAAAATGTAAAATATAAAAAACATAGGTACCAAATCATAATTTGCCATTTGGATCCATGGATTGATCCATGAATCCACCAATCCAATTGGGTTTGGATCAAATGGATTGGATTAAGTGGATAATTTGGTGGATGGATTGGATTGGATTCATGGATTTGGATCCTAATTGTCACCTCTAATGGTGGATTAGTTTTGAGCTCCAAATTCACTAATAACTTCAGGGGTTAGGCCCCAATATGATCAAAGTATGTCACAACTAGTATCCCAAAGGAAAGTAGAGAGTAAAAACAAGTATAGCGAGTGTCCTAAAGAGCTAGATAGAAAGAGAGACTATAAAATATGACCTATCGACATGCTCTATCCAAACATGTCAACAATAAGCTAACAAACGTGTAGTTTTCGTCACTATAGCAGAATATAAATGAGTCGACTTAGCACGTGATGAAGGTTAGTAGATGAAACTATTGGTCTCTTTCTATACAAATACAATGTGTTGCTAATTACTTCCTATTATCCAACTCCCCCTATTAATATCCTAATCTCTATTAGCATATTAAGTATTAACCCAGTATGACCTACTAGTTCCCTAACAATTTGCGGTTGAAATCTGTGATGTTCAGCATCTTGTGAGACCAACAACATGATTGGTTTACCACGTTAGGCATTCCCTCACTCCCCATAGTTTTCATCCTTGAAACCAAACATCAAGTAGCACTAGTGTATGACTTTGACTTTTAGAAGGTTCACTTGTGGCATTAAAGAAGGGAGGGAACCCTAGAAACCCTAATTAGGTTTCAATTACTTCAGTTCGTATGAGTTAGGTAAGCAAAAACAGTTTCTTATTGATGGGTATTTGTGGCCAAATATCTAACAAATTTTATTATTATTATTTTAGTTATTATCGTATCTATTTTGTTGTTGAGTATTGATTCTACTCAGTGAAATTTGGAAGAACTAGAGAGAAAAGATGAATCGTGAGGAGTTCGGTAAAGTACTTCGGATTTCGCTTTATTTTTTGTTATTGGTTATTAAAGATACGCAGGCTGAGGTCTAGTTAGACGGTTGGATTTTACTGATTGCATGAGTCGGGGCAGGTTGACTCATACGAGTATGTATTATAACGGAACAACACTTGATACATTTATTATTCTCATTACTAATTCGACCAATAAACTATAACATGACAAGTGTAGTTAAATTATTCAAGAAATTGAGATTCTCATTTGTATACAACTTTATCATATCTAAAATAGAATGTAATATTAAGTAAAATTTTAAGTAATTTTTTTGAAATTATCATAATTTACACAATAACAGGTCGATAATGAGGCAAGTCATAGCGGGTCAGGTCGAGCACAGAACAGTATCCATATCTGCCCCGTCCTGCCTACCTGACGGGTATTACCCACCCAAAATAGAACAAACAAA